AACCAGTACACTATCATTGTACAGTAAATAACGTGTACATATACCAGGGTACTATCAGCCTGTAGGTTATATATAATTATATAACCAGTACACTAGGCATCACAGCTAAAGATAGTGTCAAACACAACTCATACACACCTGTTTACACAAATTAATTTCCCCAAAAACTATTCATAAAGGGTAAAAAATATACCAAAACGCATATAATTTCGTTTGGATGTGTTTCATCCATGTAGGACCCCGGACGAACCCCAGTGTTAAATACCAGCATACTAACACACGTGTGAAATAAATGGCAAGCTTTTACCTGTCCCACGATCATGGCCACGCCCACGTCGGGGCTATATCATTTATTTTCTGTTCCTCGAACAGGCGACCGAGAACAGATCTGTACTGGAGAAACCTTACTTCTTTAAGAAAATAAGTAGGTAATCCTATAGGCATGTAGGCATTACAACATTTCTTTTTTATTTACATTTAAAATGTACATTCAAATAAATCAACAGGAAATTGTAGAATAATGTTCACTTATATATGAACAAAATCCACCATAAATGCTGAAAAGTTATAATTATTACGTATTCGATAAAAATGTTCAGGTTCTATTGTATTTCTTGTCTGTATGGTATTTCATCATTGTTCTTTGGTCACTATGATACATGCATACACTGTACATATACACACGCAGTTACAACATTTATGTTATTTGGCTAATAATGCAGTTTTAAATTCAATGCAATCTTTATCTTCATTTTCCTTGAAATGGAGATTTCAATTCATACAAACCATAAATAATAAAATTTCCTGGATTAAAACGACAGTAACAAATTAAAGGTTACTTTTGACATCGAATGGATTAAAACGAGTTAAATAACGCACCATTCCAACACATATTATAAATCGTATCAAAACACATGTCTACCAATTGTCAACAACACACGGAAAAACGGCATTTAGCCGGTAACTGTTATTGCAAAATATGTCCAATATACAGTAAATATCATGGTGTCTAGCACTGTACCAATATCTTGTCGACGATCAACACACACAATCCATTTGCACACTGTACATTTACTTGTCTGGTAGAAAACAATATTCGTGCATGCACGTTTTCGTAGTTGGCACTACAATCTGGCGATTGTTTCAAATAAATCGCAATAACTTAAAGGAATGTATACTGGTAACTGAGCAGGATCGTCATAAACATATAATCGAAGTTCATGTTGGAGGATATTGTTTTTAGAATAATGCTTACTTAACTCTTTAGTTTTCCTCAAATGATTACAAATATAAGTGATTAACTCAAAATGCCAGATAACGCGTGAAAATTTGATCCTGTATATAATTATTAAAAGGAATGTTGATTTCCTTTCCCCGAATGGTCCAGTCTCTCACAAGATGCATACACCTTTACTCTAGCTAAGCCTGTGATGGTACCACAACGACGTGACTCTGGGAGGTCGGCCGACTGTCCACCTCCTCCTCATTTAGATCCTCCTTCAGTTGCTGTTTCTGCCGAGACCGACGTCCTTTCCTGCGATATGAAGTAAAATACATCTGAGAAAAATAAAAGTTTCTTCAGGTTTTTAACAAGTTTCAGCAGTTACTTAGCTACCATTCTTGGAGAATTGTCTTTTATTATAAGCATGTTGTCTATAGAGGTGTTATTGCTTTTTATGATCGCTGTTGCACAAACTTTCAATCTTGACAGTATGACACATATTAAAAATCCTTACCATACGCCGCCAGTGGTCAGTTTTACATAGGCTTTACGTGTGTTGTTTAACCTTTTGACCTTAAACAATTCATTTTTAATTCAATTTGCTAAAATTGACAGGAACAAAGTGACCTACCTTACTGGTGGATCAGGGAGTGGAGCAATATCTGATGGAAGTTCATGTTCCCCGTCGGACATCACCTGGTGCTCTGTAGGGGAAACAACACCATCTAGTGACATGTTTGATTTCACGTTTAACTTTGCTAATGGAGATTATCAAAATTTAACTATAAATTGGAATACACAGTGAAACAGTTTGTATGATAGACAAATATGTTATGAGATATGATAAAACATTTAATGTGAAATGATACTTGCAAATGCACACAAAAATATCAATTAAATACGGCCTATTTGTTCCATTCCTGACTTACCGTCGACTGACATCATTGCAGTACCCCGTCCACTAGGGGCGGATACTGTGTAAGAAATGTAATCTTTATCAGCCGAAGCCCCTTGTACGTTAGGTGTCTGTCCTGCAGTTTTTTTGTGAATATCGGGCTAAAAATATAAATAAAATCACTTTTTAAAATTCAGAAACCTTAAAAAAATAATATCTAAATTACTTGCAGCATCTCTTCTTCGAACTTAAATCTTGCACTACATGCATGATCTGACACTGACGATAACACTTCCATCGTTCTATAACACACTAACTGATCTTCGAGAATACCTACTTAAACAAATATTTTTTCCGAAGAGTAGTGAAGAGGTCGACCTTTGATGATGATGACAATGACACATTCATGTCCCCAAATCCTTTTAAAGGCAAGAACTACAGTTCACAGTATCATCGATGAAATATTTCTTCTAACCCTGATTATGAGCAATCAGCAATGAATGTAACAACATTGGATAGCATTAGGTATTACCCACTGATGGTAAGGGAAAGGCAACGCAAGGGCTTCTTTGAGAAAATGTAACCCCTTGGAATGGGAATGAATAACTCATTATCCAGTCACATTCAGACAATGGCTGACCAGGAGACACCAGCGGAGTAAAGACAAAAATCACAAGTTTTCAATGAAGGTAGCAAATGAAGTCGGCTCTCTCCTTAGTGAACCCCATAACACATTACATGTACTACAGGGAGCCACGCCGTAGTGATACCATACAATCATACCATAAGCTGCAGCAGGCCGATCATTTACTAGAAAACAAACAGTATTTTATAAAAGCTCATCAGGACTGCATAAAAGTATCGCTTTTTCATTGAAGATTTTATTGATTAACATCAAATCTGTAACCTCCAAACTTACTATGACTGGTTTCTTCATGGCGGCGGCGTTTTTACTGGAGGCCATAATGCCAACAGGTGTGTCCGCCTGACAACAAAGATTTAACATGATGATTTATATCATGATATTGTAGTACTAAGATGAACCAATGGAAAATATACGAACGTTTATGATGTGAAATTTGATATACACAATTTTTGCAAAGGAGGGATTTTAAACGTGTTGATCCTGTTCAAATATATTTGAATGAACTAGAATGAAAGCTAATATACGTTGCGATTCATATTTGCACTAAAAAACTATATTTCTTGCAGTTCTTGCTGTGTTAACTCTTGAAGAAATGACAAATATGAGAAGCCCTGGTCTACGTACCGCGTAGCTGACAGAAGCATGGTGAAGGGTAGCAGCTTGCCTCTGGAGAGTTTGACGAATATAGCTCTCATCCTTCAGCGCGTGCATACTGAAATATAGGTAAATCTTTAAATACATAATACCCCATCTAAAATGTAAAAATATATATACCTGTTGAATCAAAGATCCATTCAACGGCAAAATATTAGAAACAAAATAGACACATCTTTGTCACATTAAAAGTAATCAGTATTTGCTCAAACATTCTTTATATACAATATTCCTTGCACTGGCGATAATTTCATATTTAAGTAAAAGAGCTTACCTCTGCTGAAGGATGGCAAATTTCTTCTCCCAAATTTTATGGATTTTTTCTATTTCTCCTTTGAGTCTGAAAAAGGGAAGTAAAATACAGAATAAAATTATCTCGACATATTTGTAAAGATGATACAATCGAAATCAATTGATATTCCGCAAACGTCATCATGAAGTGAGAACTGGCGTCTGAGAGAAGAAGTTAATACAGGAGGTCCATAGACATAAACGGTCACCCGAGTAAATTCTGCATACACGTGCTGTATAGATGAATTAGATGATACGTTTAATGGATTATGTACAGATGAAGTTGTAAATGTCCTAGTAAATCACAGGCCAGGGTGGCCATCTGGAATTTTACAATCAGCATGAAATGTTAGAAAAAAAAAATGGTCGAAACCTCATAAGGAACACTTCTACTAAGTTAGAAGTCAATCGGTGTAGCCTTTCTTGAGAAGAAGTCAAAATCATCTCAGTCAATGAGAGGTCAGGGTGACCACCTTCGATTTTCTGATCGGCACAAAAAGTAAGACCACTTGTTTGGAACCTCATTAGGAACAATTTAACAAATAAGAAGTGAATTGATGCAGATAATCTTGAGAAGTCGAACATTACTCGGCTCGGCAAATCAGAGGCCAGGATCGGCCATCTTGTATTCTCCGATAGGCAGTAACTCTGCCAGTTACTGTCTGATCAGACCCATTAGCGGACTTGCCTGTGATATTATTGATATAAAAGCAAAATAGCAAACTTCATCGAAATCCATTCACTTTTACTAAAGGTATCGTGCCAACAAGCTCGAGGCCCAAAGGCTCCAATAGTTCTTAAAATGTCAAAGTCCCATAACCTTGACATTTACTGTCTGATCGGGACCACTTTCGAACTTTTGAGTTATCGTGCTCACAAGATAAAAAGTTAACGCACAACGTAAGACGACGTACAAAGACGGATGACAATAGGTTACCATGACCTATGATCAGGTGATCTTAAAAAAAAGAGAGCTCATGAACAGGTTTGTGTTTCAGACATGGCTGTACAAATTATCAGTAGCTTTGAGTTTCAGACATGGCTGTTCAGGTGAAGAGTAGCTTTGAGTTTCAGACATGGTTAAACAAGTCAGCAGTCAGCGTACCTATTGATTTCATCCCTCAGCCTGTCCTCATTCTTCTTGAATTTCTCAGTGTCAAGCTCATGCTGTGACTTCTGGCTGTTTTTCTTCTTTTCCTGTAAGTGAACAGTGTAATATTTGACCAGTGTTTACTTGTAAAGTATAATGTAAAACATATACCTTTATATGCTGTGGTTTTATCTGCATAAGGGTTTCTCGCTAAAATATGAATATAAAGGAAGTGGTTTAACGTAATCTCTTCGCAATTTTAACACAGATATTCACTAAAGTAAGCAGGCATTGTGCCACCAAGTGGTTGGTCCTGAAATAATACAGGAAACGTTTGAAAGGGAGTAACGCTTACAGACAATTTCTTAGTCAACACAATTGTAAAAAAATGTTCTATTCTAAAAGAATATTGCAAATGGAAATTAGTAAGCGGACATTAATTAATTTGAAAATTTTTAAAACGGCGTTGAAGTTTTAAAAAATCGACGTGTAAAATCAGACAATAAACAAATTAGTAATTATCATTTGACTCTTAACAAGTTTCAAATGCAAAAAGTATGAGTTAATGTAAATGTTGTATCCCAACATATATTAACTTGAGCTGTTGGAATAATGTTTTAATCGAGATAAGGTCCTAATAAGCTACACATTGATATGGTCCTAATAAGCTAGACATTTAATCTGACCATTTTGCGAGGATCTTGACTTTTATGCAAGAATACGAAAAGGGCATGTGTTCATGAAATAACATTTCTGTCGTCAATGCATCACTCGAACATTAGCAAGAAGGTTTATGTAATATACTGAATCAAGTACATATATTGGTCTCGGGTGGTGTGAAATTTAAGCAACAGACCATACCTAAGGCAAAATATATTCTGTACCCTAATGATAACTAAAGTTTCGACAAACAAAGAAATAACTGTAGGGAACTGATCAATGTACCATTAGCAGCATCTCCTCGAGTCGTTTCTTCTGATCGAGCAAAATCTGGAGTTTGTTCTGCTCTGCATCCTTCATCTTGTTGGCCTCCTCTTGTGCTTGTAACAAGGCCTGAAATGTTCATGAATATAATAATAAACTGTAATATCGTATGTTTCTAAATGGCTGTATTGCATCTATCGACTGGTAGAAATCTGAGAGCGACACCAGTTTGTTTGACTCACCTCTTCACGTGCTTCTCTCATCCTCTCATCCATTATCCTCTTCATTTCCTCCTTCTGCTTGGCCATCTGTACTCAGAAATAGGACAAACAAAATGAGTACACAACCTTTCTTTTAGATCACCTATATCCAACAAAAACCTGTTTGTCAGACCTACCTATAACATTAACTCTTAAAAGTCATTGTAATCTCGTAATTTCCAATTAATTATGCAATTCTCATTCATAACTACTTTATTAGATGAAGATATCAGTTTTATCAGTATTTTATTACTGCAATTGAACTGCGAGTATTAAATAGAGCATTATTGTATTAGATCAAATTTACTCAAAACAATTATGTCAACGAAAGAGCCTGTAAGATCTAAAAGGAATGCAAGCGAATGGGTCATGCTTAACAGTAATGCAATCAAAAATGTCAAAATTTCTGTAACTTTTATAGCAATATCAATAAAATCAAGATAGTCATTCTAGATACATATCAAACCAAAATGCATTATAATATTAAGATATATATCTTTAAAACTATTTGAAATACTGGTAGTGAAAATGAAATATTCCGTCAATAATCCATGATATCCCAGTTGAACTCTAACGACACCATTTCAGCTTACCCAATAGAAGCTAGTAACCTCATAGTGATAAATACATTGGTAATTATTAACTATTGGCCAGAAAGAAATCAACATTATAGAAAGCAATATATGAGTGACATCTGCATATAAATGATGATAGAAATAAATCATAAAGTTTGATGATATATTGAGGAAAATGTATGCATGTGTAAGATAACTTTGGTAAAGGACTATACAAGCAGTGCTTTCGGCTTTTTATTGATATTCTGGGAAATTTTCTTGTACAATTATTAATCAAAATCGCTATCTATATATCGTATCAAACTAATTACATATAATTGATATTGCAATGACATCCGAATCGTTCTCAGAAATGCAATCCGTCCAGAACGTTATAGAAAACAGCAGGCATACTCTCCACATATGTGGTCGGTTATTTAAACGATATATAGTGACTTCATTGCTAGTCTAAAGGCTGAAAAGCATATCCTCTCCAAATTCAACAAACTATCCAGTTATCTCTAAATTAAATCAACATAGAATAATCTTTGTTCAGAATTGTCAACCAAAATAAACATCATGTTCACATCGACCAAAGATTATTGTTAACTGTTGTTTATAATGATGTTAAAGATGTAGGTACATTCGGTGAGGTTATGTATCACCGTGTCCACATATTAGTACGTACCGGTAGTACATGGTATAATTATTGAGTTTTTAGCAATTTGTAACCCATCATACATTTGTGGAACCTTGTAGCACATTCTAATAATACACCTTTCGATGAAGGTTCAGAGAAAAGGCTTTTATGAACGTCTTCGAAATAAATACGTTTCAGTGATAATTGCTGACTTAAACGTAAGATTTTTGTAATGAACCTGATCAGTTCTCGTTATTTAAAGGTGTACCAACGAATATTGTAAATTACTCAATATCTGGTAGAAAGACTACCACTGAAAATGTTCATTTAACAAGAATGATAGGTAGGGGTAACATCGCTGACTCGGTGAAACTTGTACATATGGTAGAAAGACTGTAAGAAGAAAATAGTCTCCGTTATATGTTTCATGCTTGTACATGTAGTTTCACTTTAGTGCAGTTGATACGGTCGCATGCTTATCATGCTGAAAGCATCTGTTCTAGACTGAGATAGGCAAGGCTGTGTATATATTGAAGACATTGAAGATCGAAGTCTATGCACCGAGTTTCCATGCAATGTATACAGCTTTTAGTACGCAAAATCACTCTGATGTTAACACGTGCATATTTATAACTTATTATTGGTGTTAAATTCTTGTACGTCTTTGATTACTTACATGCATCGAGAGTGATCAACGTATTGATACATTATATAAGTATTTAAATTGTTTCTGGATAAGCTGTAAGTGTTTACAACGCACAGGTTTTAATCATGCATATCCATCACCATTTCTTATTAGGTCATCAATAATGGAGAAGAGTGGATTAGAAAAAAAGGAGTAGAAAGGGAGAAAATAATAGTAGTGACTTACTCCTGAACCCTGGAAAGAAAAAGGATCAAATGAATAAACATGGAAATATAAAACAAAAATAATGTTACAATTCTACATGGTCTTATAGCGTGTCGCCTCATCTAGTAGCACGTATTGTGACGTCTGAATCACAAAGTCGCCGTGGCATTATGCGTTATTCCATTTCATATATGACATTTACATAACCTGTAACGAACTTTCTTTTCAGCAGATAGATATGCTCACTAAATGAAAACATCTATATTTGTGCTATAAATCTTTTATGAAGTGACAACTTCTTCAAAATCTTGTTTATCTATTCTACATTTAAATGGAACCTGAAATCAATGAAATAATCTGAATGACATCAAGGAAATCATGAAATCATTAGATACGAGCCAATGTATTACTAGCAAAAATCGGGTATCTGATGTTACAGCCACCTAAAACAGCTGTAAAATCCTGAAATAAACATTAAAATCTGTCAACAGTGGACTACGTTTTGTCCTTAATATATATATAAATTATTTGAATAAAAGAATTAACTAATTCAATTATACTAATCCTAATTTATGCTTTATGTACCTGTGTACAGAACACAATAAAGATCCACAATAATAGATGTAAAAAGTCACCATCAATTGACGTGGTACGTTTGTTGTATTGGATATACATGGTAGCCACTATATAACGATGAGGTTAACACACATAGATGTTTGCTGATCTCATGACACACATAGATGTTTGCCTGATGTAGGCTATGTTCAAAATTAATATACATGTAATTTATAATACTAGCGTATTAACACATAAGCAAATCACACCTGTAAGTATTTTGATTAACGTGAATGCTTTTAAATATTAATTTGAATAGTCAATATGCGAGAATGAGTTTTATTGAGGAAGTGAGTTTAAAAAATCAACATATTAGAAAATTGCACAAAATTAATATATTATTTAGTTATTTTGTACACATATTGCATGATTTCAATTTCTTTTCAGTGTTAAGAGTATGACAATTAGCATTTTATTTCAGATGAACTGATGGATAACGCCACGCAGAAGTTCTGCTAATTGGAGGGGTTTGTTCTTGTAATTAGTATAATTTCTGGACATGTTAGCTGATCTGGTAGAATAAAACGTATAATTACATTTTGATTTTATCTTAGTTTGATTCCCTTAAGGTTTCATGATATATATAATCGCTTTTCCATTGTTAATTTCGTTTTGATTAATGTTCAATTTTGTTGTTGGGTGGGTGGTTTGTTTGGTAGATATCACAGTACCTATATTTGGATGTTGTTCGGTTAAATGTGACGGAAAACATTATTTGTTTTGGTTAGCGTGGTTGATGTTAAATGAATTTTTTTTGGTTTAGTGTGTTAGTCATGATGACATCTGATATGTTTTGTGGTAAAAATTATTATTAGTTTGAAATTAGTTCGTGTGTCGGGGGTTTATTAAAGGGTGGAGGTCTGAGACAAGGTCGGTAAGTGACACGATCAGTTATCGCTATCACGACTAGCTATAATGTGATCTCAATATCAAAGCAAACAACACAATGAATACAGCAAATCGCCTTTACCATTTCTTCTGCCTGTAATACAACAATAAATATGGGAGAGTTAGCCTTAGACCAGGTATGTGTTGGATTGTAAGTAATATATATATACATAAGATGTTTATCATAGAGTAATGTCAGGAGTTCTATAACAAAGTTCCACGGTATTGCTCTGACTGTATCCTCTATAACATTTATAGGTTTTGTTTTTTGCTTCATTTACATCCTGAAAATGTATGCGTAGTATACACCCTATCAATATGTACCATTTCAGACGATGAATAAGTAAGAACTTTTGTCTATAAGCAGTTTCTAAGAAATTTCAACCACAAATTTGTGCCACAGAAAAAAACGTTTAAGTTTGACAACGAAACTTAAGTGCTGAAGAGTACTTTCCAACCTTTTACTTGTTATAGTACACAGCACTTGAAGCTTCATCAAGTGGAACTTGAACTTAGTTTAGTTTTGTTTACAAAAGTCTGAACACATCAAAATGTACGAATGGTACATGCACTAACAAGATAGGATATAACTGTATTCTGTTATGATGTAGGCATTCGGTAATATTTTGTATCAACAACCCTGATTTCTGAATAATCATTGTTATTACCAGGTTTGTTAGAATGAAATAATTTCAATGTTTTAAAGATGTACAAGAAGAATCACAAGTGACTTTTGGTTTTCAGAAGTCATCAAAATAATGACTCATGACAGTAATGGAAGATGTTGCATCATTCTTGTTAAGATATAGTGATATACCTGGCTTTTTCATGTTGTCTTTCATGAAACATTTTTGTATGAAATGGCATGAAATAAAACAGCCCAGAAACGAATGGAATTGAGGTCAGAGTATCAAATTCCAAAATCAATGGTAAAAGAAAGAAGTACACATTAATAATATATTTAAGAAACAAGCCCCCAGATATAAAAACAAATTTCACAATCACATCTAACAAACAGATATTTTTTTCCAATTAAACAAAGGGAAATATTCCAACAAAATAAAAAGATAATTGTATAGCAACCTGTTCATTACTCATAGAACTTTCTATAAGGCTATTCTGAAAAGTAAATATGTTTTGAATGATTCCATAACCAATCATCAGGATTGATATGGTAAGTATTAAATATCATACAATTCTTGATCTGTCTGTACTTCCTTATATTTAGAAATGTCTAATGTCGTGTAATATTTAATCAACAGATTTATTTATCACTTTTAATACGCAAGTCAATGATTTTTTCCTTGTTTGAAAGCGTCTATCTATAAAAAAAACTGAAACTACAGCAAATTCAAACTAATTTATACACAAATTGAACACTAATTAACCAAACAAATATCATTAAACTAAACAAACCAAATGTATTGAAGCTAAATACAACATCAACTCAACTAACCACGTCACAAATTAGAAGATACAAGGTATACCACCAGTCGTTTAAACGACGGATCAGGGGAGATAATAAGATATACTTACAAGTCTTTTTGATGAGGCCTGTTCCTGTGCAGCATTGGCTTTCATATCCTCTGTCTCCTTTTTAAACTGATTTCACACAAAATAATAAGTACATAATTTAACTATTGAAAAAAAAAGAAGACTTTTTTAAAGAGATTTAAAAGGATTTAAATGTCCAATTTTATGAAATATGCAATATCCTCAACTTATTATCTTCCAAAATAGTTACAAAAAAATATTACTTTAAAGTATGTTCTCAATACTCCCTATACCACTGAATTTCATTTACTTTGGCGTAAAACTTTCAAGGCATATTTTTAAAAGTTCCTTCAATCCTTTAGAATGTTATGCTATCATAGTCTTGTGACCTTTAAGTGAAGACAAAGAAGAGATGTTGTTTATTCAGCTACTCACCTTCTCCGACACTGCTTTCTCGTTCTCAATAAGCTCCTTTAGTTTTGCTATTTCCTGATCTGCAATTTTCAAAGTTTAAACTCATTATATGTTAAATTTTCAACCCTTTGGGTTTACAAACATTTACAAATATTTGCACAAAATGTTTCAAAGTTGATTGCACCTACAGTATGTCAACAATGATTTACACTATAACCTACAGTATGTCAAAAGTGATTTACACTATAACCTACAGTATGTCAAAAGTGATTTACACTATAACCTACAGTATGTCAACAATATTTACACTATAACCTACAGTATGTCAACAATGATTTACAATATAACCTACAGTATGCCAACAATAATGTACACTATAACCTGCAGTATGTCAACAATGATTTACACTATAAACTACAGTATGTCAACAATGATTTACACTATAACCTACATTATGTCAACAATGATTTACACTATAACCTACAGTATGTCAACAATATTTACACTATAACCTACAGTATGTCAACAGTGATTTACAATATAACCTACAGTATGCCAACAATAATTTACACTATAACCTGCAGTATGTCAACAATGATTTACACTATAACCTAGTATGTCAACAATGATTTACACTATAACCTGCAGTATTTCAACAATGATTTTCACTATAATCTACATTATGTCAACAATGATTTACACTAACCTACAGTATGTCAACAATGATTTACACTATAACCTACAGTATGTTAACAATGATTTACACTATAACCTAGTATGTCAACAATGATTTTCACTATAACCTACAGTATGCCAACAACAATTTACACTATAACCTACAGTATGTCAACAATGGTTTACACTATAACCTTCAGTATGTCAACAATGGTTTACACTATAACCTTCAGTATGTCAACAATGATTTTCACTATAACCAACAGTATGCCAACAACAATTTACACTATAACCTACAGTATGTCAACGATGGTTTACACTATAACCTACAGTATGTCAAGGGGGATTTAAACTATAACCTACAGTATGTCAACAATGATGTACATTATAACCTACAGTATGTCAACAGTGATTCAAACTATAACCTACAGTATGTCAACAATATTTACACTATAAGTATGTCAACAATGATTTTCACTATAACCAACAGTATGCCAACAACAATTTACACTATAACCTACAGTATGTCAACAATAATTTACACTATAACCTACAGTATGGGGACAATGATTTACACTATAACCTACAGTATGTCAAGGGGGATTTAAACTATAACCTACAGTATGTCAGCAATATTTACACTATAACCTACAGTATGCCAACAATGATTTACACTATAACCTACAGTAACCTACAGTATGTCAACAATGATTTTCACTATAACCTTCAGTATGTCAACAATGATTTACACTATAGCCTGCAGTATGTCAACAATAATTTACACTATAACCTACAGTATGGGGACAATGATTTACACTATAACCTACAGTAACCTACAGTATGTCAACAATGATTTTCACTATAACCAACAGTATGCCAACAACAATTTACACTATAACCTACAGTATGTCAACGATGGTTTACACTATAACCTACAGTATGTCAATAATATTTACACTATAACCTACAGTATGCCAACAATGAGTTACACTATAACCTACAGTATGCCAACAATAATTTACACTATAACTTGCAGTATGTCAACAATGATTTACACTATTTTACACTATAACCTACAGTATGTCAATAATATTTACACTATAACCTACAGTATGTCAAATAACCTACAGTATGTCAACAATGATTTACTCTATAACCTACAGTATGTCAACAGTGATTCAAACTATAACCTACAGTATGTCAACAATAATTTACACTATAACCTACAGTATGGGGACAATGATTTACACTATAACCTACAGTATGCCAACAATGATTTACACTATAACCTACAGTAACCTACAGTATGTCAACAATGATTTACATTATAACCTGCAGTATGTCAACAATGATTTTCACTATAACCTGCAGTATGTCAACAATGATTTTCACTATAACCAACAGTATGCCAACAACAATTTACACTATAACCTACAGTATGTCCCCAATGGTCTACACTATAACCTACAGTATGTCAACAGTGATTCAAACTATAACCTACAGTATGTCAACAATGATGTACATTATAACCTACAGTATGTCAACAGTGATTTACACTTTAACCTAGTATGTCAACAATGATTTACCCTATAACCTAGTATGTCAACAATGATTTACACTATAACCTACAGTATGTCAACAGTGATTTACACTATAATCTACAGTATGTCAACAGTGATTTACACTATAACCTCCAGTATGTCAACAGTGATTTACAGTATAACCTACGGTATGTCAACTATGATTTACACTATAACCTACAGTATATCAACAATGATTTACACTATAACCTACATACAGTATGTCAACAATGATTTACAATATAACCTACGGTATGTCAACAATGATTTACACTATAACCTACAGTATGTCAACAGTGATTTAAACTATAACCTACAGTATGTCAACAATATTTACACTATAACCTACAGTATGCCAACAATGATTTACACTATAACATGCAGCTGATCTGAAACTTAAATTTAAATCAGTTAAATCTAATTGCTTTCAACAAGCATGCAAGCACAATTCAAACCACTGTTTTTAACAACCTTTGTTTATCTACGTATACCATCATCTGCTCATAACAATAGGAATACATACTTAGCCCAGTGATGTTCTCCTCCTTGGTATCAATGGTTTTTTCCAGTTTGTTTATTTTCCTTGACATCCCGCTCACCTCCTCTCGTAGGTCCTCAAGCTCTGGGTTGATGTCTGGAGACTTGGACTTGATGGACAGTTCTTCTACCTGATTATTGAAGTAAGTAAGAATATTGCTTTTATTAATAAATATAGTATATATAGCTAAAATCAATACAAAAAACAATTTTCAAAATAAGGTTGCAGTGTTTTCAACATCTGTAATAGTATTGCTGTTGGACATGAACAAAATATTAATGTTAAAATGAGCATTGTATTTATTTTACTGGTAAACCAAATAAATACATACATGAATTAATGCATACAAATAATTTACTTACAAATGTTCAATACATCTATTGTGTTTACAGTCAAATAAAACTTATAAACTTAAATCATGCAGCTAGAAGGTTGTACTGAAGACTACAAATATTTGTGTTATATTAAATGTACCAAGATAACATTATGCCTGGAGTATTTCTGGAACAAACTGGTACCATCACCTAATTAGCGTAAATCACATCCTCTTAAAGGGATAATCTCTTTCCTCTAGAATATGGACCTGGTGATGTCCAAAAAATTCAGTTATGAGAATTAATTAAACAATTTGTAAATAATACACACAATATAAAACACAAAATAACATGAATGCTTTCACACCAAGTCTGACATATGTTGAGTAAAGCCTGTTAAATAACACATTACAGGTCATACACATTATAATAGCTTTATTAATCATGTTTACAGTATAAAATTACATCAATTTAGTAGTCACAACATCCATACTAAAAATCAGTAGTTGACTAATAGTTTAGTCTTCAATATTTTCATTTTTATTCCATATCACAATAAATAAATCTCAATTATTAACAAAATCAAATATTTTTTCAAAACTTTGTTAAAATCATGTAATAGAAACCTCTTCTTTTTTTCATTGTAACTTTTAACGAATGAAGTTTAGAATATATTTCTTCTAGTGTCTGTTATATCATAGTATTTCAACACAAGAAGTACTAACATGTAACTTGTTAGATTAGATTTAGATGCAGAATCAGGTTTTCAAAATGGTCAATGTGCTATGATTTCCTTCATCTTTTATTGTATGGGGTTTTATGTCCTTGCAAGGTTGTGTTTCCAATTTAACACCAAGTGTTTTTTTTAATATGGAAATATTGCACAGATTCAAAACTTTGTGTATGTAAATTAAGGACATGACATATTCATTGTTGATCAATATAGTCATTATACATTAAGCAAACAGTCACACTCAATTACAAAACATGCATCACAATGACCAAATTCTCTGTCATTCAATTTCTTTAAACAAAATCAGTCCAAAAATCTAAAATCTGAAGAAAATGGTTAATAAAAATATCAACCCCTATTACTATTGGTTTTAACTATCAAAACAAAACAGATATTTTGAAATTATGGAAAAAATTTCAATTCATGACAATTGAAAGAGTTGTGTTCCAAATAATATTATATTTTCTTCTATAGGTGATTCATTAGACTTGTGTTTGAAAAGAATAATAAAGATAGCTTTAATAGGTATTCCTGAACATGCGTCATCTTATGAACAGCTCACCTAAGCAGAATTGTTTTTTACATTGTTGTTCAGGATATGTCGAATGATATCCAGAGTAACAATTATGACATCCATTGCTATTCATGACAACAAGAATATACACATACATACATTAAAGACACTCCACATTTTTGCAGCCAATCAATAACTATCCACATCATAGGATCATTTCACCCATTATTTGTTAGTGGCAGTATTAGGTCACACCTGACAGTGAGAGGGCTTACCACAGTGACCGGTGCTGGTGGAGGCTGGGGCACAGGTGTTTGTCGGGGGGTAGGGGGTGCCCTGGGAGCAGGGTGGGGGGAGGGTGGCTGTAATGTCTGGGTTGGTACAGGTGAAGGGCTAGGGACAGGGATCATTACAGGGATCCCGGGGGTTGGAGGTGCAGGGGTATGAGGGGTATGAGGGGCAGGAGGGGTGTGAGGAGCCTTGGAGGAATCTTTCTTCTGTAAACAAAATAAAATCTGTGCTGTTAGAATGGCAGAAAGTCACACAGTCCTGGAAAAAAGGGTTGTGAAATTAATACGAGAATGTGATGCAGAAATCAGAAAAATGTGTAAACCAAGGCGATGAAAAAATAATAAAACACTCATAACAATTTCAAACAATATCATCATCTAGAATTGTCTAGACAGTCGTGAATACAATGATACACATTTGTATTTCAATTACAGCGTATTTGTGTTAATGACCTAACTTAAAACTGGTTATAAAGACTAGTAAGTATCTTTTCACCAAATATCGTAAAATTTGATGTATTCCAGCAGTCAACTGGGCAGACTTGTAATTTCTAAATTATCACTTTACATTGAACAAGAAAAGAAAAATAATAATTTTCAAACACCAAAACCCAATGCATTATGATATTTACATCATTCTTCAGGAATGGATATAATTAAATATAGATGTATTCATGCAAAAATTACTAACTACTATAATATCAATAAATCTTCTCAAATATTCAGAAAAAATATATAGATTTTCTACAAGGAAATCACTATAAACTGTTGCTATAATCATGCAATTATATCAGTTACACATGTGACATAGTCTGTAAACACGTATGCAATATACTACTTAGCTTTTGATAAACTGAATTTAATGTTCGTCAAACCTGCCTCATCAGAAATAAAAGCTGTCAATTACAACAGATTTTCCAAATACTGATACCTGTGTACTCTGACATACTGCCTTATCTGACCCAAGTCCTGTTGATTGTGTTAAGGCGGGGCTTTTTTAAGGTTATACCAAATGCTTACAGACTGCGTCACTACCACCCTGTTCACTTCACACATGTATATATATACAAGTACCTGGTACCATGTTATTTACGATGACAGGATGGCGGATTGTTTTTACAAATGAAATGTTAGTGATTAATTTAACACTTGTCTGTTCAGTACGACAACTTACAAATCAAATTAAATATCACATAAATATCGGTGATTTATCACTTTGTATAAAACAGACTACCGGTTGATGAGAGGATTTCTATGTAGGCCTATGCTCTTACCTTATCCTATTAGTTTAACAATGAAATGAAATGAAATAAATCGAAATTAAATTGTTTTTACTCATCTTTCAAAAAGGCTAACATAATAAAAATGCTTTTTAAGAAAGAATAAATGTGAGTTATAGCAATAAAAATGATTTCTCCATTTAATGGAGAGTTCTTCAGGAACAAGCGTATTAATTATTAAACCACCAAAACCATCCACATTGTGTAGATTAGTCAAGAACTCGGAACATCCTGATAGTAGTCCAGTTAATTAATGATAATGCATACTTTTGTTATTCTGAAGGTTGTTTTTTTTGGCAACCTATAAAGTTACCAATTCACGGTTGAACCCTCACCATTTTTACATATATTTGTTCTATATATATAGCTACATGGAGGAAATGGTATGATTTTTTCACTTTTTGATACTTTTATATAATCAAAACCGAACATACCGTTAAGCAAAACCGAACATCAGATAGATAATTGCCTAAATGGCTACAGCAGTCATTGGGTATTTTAATCATTTTAATCTCTAACTTTGACCTGATTGAAACTAACTCAATAACTATTTCAATTTATCAATTCTGATTCAGAAAGAGCTAAAGAATCAAACGTTAAGGGTATGCAGTAAAATACACTGGACAATAATGGATTGAATGTTGGCTATTGTCGCAACAGGACCTGGGGGAGGGAAGGTTATCACAATGTATAATAATATGGTTTTATAAAAAGTGTTACAAATTGTAAACGAAAGTGAGGAGGACAGATAGATTCATGCACATACATTGACTAGTAAACAATTCACACTGTTGTTATAACAAATGCCACAACCAACCAATCAGAATGAGGGTTTCATAAGACTTCGGTGGTTACAGTCACCATGGAGACAGTGAGTTAGGGTTATAGTTATATGACAAGATGTAAATATTTTTACCGAAGACACATATGACGAAGGCGTCCGATTGGACGGTCTGTCTGAAGGGGCCGGCTATAAAAATAGGCACAACAAAAATGCAACAAAGAATAATAAAACCACATGCAACTATAAATGCATTACATTGTACATAACTTGCACAAATGTATGTATATGTTCATTTTATATTGCATCTTTCCTGGCTAGATTGTGGAACGACCTATCAGGACTTGTATATGATATTTATTCTTTTTAAATATTTCAGTACAGAACAAGTATACAACATTTTCCCAAATTTTCTGCTTAACAAAAATGAATTGAGAGGGAAACTGAGAGAGAATTGTTGGAGACATACGACTTTTTCAGTATCAAAACCTCTGAGTGAGTAACAATGGGGATTTTATTATTTCTTTGTCAAATGCTCAATTCACACAAATGATTGGCATTTTATTCATTGCACTTCCAGTGATTGTATTACAAAAATCTTAAAAATGGCCCAAAAATCAATCATTTGGAAAATCAATCTGGAAAAAATATTGATATACATTATTGAACCCTACTTTAACTTTCAATTCAACATGAAATGGAGTGATGATAAAGTGGCCCCTACTTCAAACTTCCATTTTCTGAAGTATTGATATTAGCACCTAGTCCACTAACACTCCATTTCCATGAAACAAGTACTTATAGACTAGTACCATGTACTTACACTTTCCGTCTCCATGTTGTTGTGCTGCTGCTGCTGGTAGTGGGATAGCTGCATCTTTAACATGGCGATCACTTGCTCACTTCTCTGTATTGTGGCCTGCATCTCTTTGTACTGTTCCCCAAGTTTGTCTTTGTCACTTGCACGCTTTGATTTCTCACGCTGGATCTTGTTTTCCATATTTTTCTATAAACATAATCAGGTACATTAGTATGTTCCAAATGAGATTTTCAGTCGGACATTCTTTACTTTAAAATCTACTAAGAATAAGTATTATTTTACAATTTAGCCCCTAATAATCAGAACCAGACCTTAAGCTATGTACATCTACAGAAACTGAACATCAGAAATCCAGATTTAGGGTTTGATGGATACATACGTTAATATATTGAATATGAGATTCTGAATATCATTCTTAGTTCACTTTTCAAAATAGATATGATACAAGTGTGCTATGAGCATATATTTGCATGAAAATACAACAAGAATGCTTCATTTGATTTTCTCTATTACAATATTGTTCAGTATTTAGGTTATATGTGATAAACTCAAAATAACAGCAACTGGCACCATTTTGGAAATGCCTATTTCTGATAAAATAATGTTCATACAAAATTTAATGTACACTATTGCTTTTGTTCTCAAAAATTTGGAATAATATTTACACATTTACTTTGCATTGAAAAAAAACACTTGTCTTTGAAAAGAAATTACAAGGAGTGACCAAGATTTTGTTCTGATTATGCCATTGGTTTGTAAATGTAAGTAGGTGCACATGATTTATATATAACAGGCATTTATTAACCTGCAAAAAATATTGGTCATTCTTTCAATTTTTCTCATTACTCAACATGTACACCTTAGATGTTTCAACATATACCCCTGTGATGGAATATGTCATCAGAATTATCACTCACACTGTAAAGTACTGATATGCGGGCAATGGCGTCAGCCAACTGCTGTCTGAATGCTCGTCGTACAGTGTCCACCCTCTGTCAAAACAAACACTTCACAGTAACATTTCTGTAGCAATATTTAAAAAAAAAAAAAGTGAAGTTTGATACACTTTTCGACTTCAAATAATAATATTTTAGAGAACCTTATCAAATATCAGACGTTTTAAATTTTCAGATGATTGAGGTTCAATTTAACATCGGTCTTTGTGTCATAATTTAACGCTTCCAAAAAGAATGATTTACTGAGGCATTGGTGAATTTGGTGACATTGCGACGCAATAAAATATCAAGGGGGATAACTCACATCTTCATGCATCCTCTCCAGCTGGGTTACCTTGTCGTTGATGCGACAGTATCTATAGAAATGTGAATCACAACACAATACAAACATGCAAATACTGTACTGTAGCATAACTTTAATTACAGGTGAATAAAAAGAAAAGCATAATGGCCACGTTCCTACATTATTATCTCTCAAGTCCAACATGATCTAGCTACCACATCCCTACATTGTCAGAACTATTAATGACATAGTATCCCCATGATAAGCCTAATATATGTTGTATTTTACAGTATTGATATAAATGTTAGCATATTTCCAAACAAAATATTTTTTTGGTTCATTCTATTTAACACTGGTCCAAATAAAATTCCTACCTATCAACTACATTTTACATTACATTGAATTTGAGATTTTATCAAATAGACTGTCACTATATTTAAGCTGAAATATTTAGTGTATTTCTGTATGGCATAAATGATCATTTCAATGAAAAATACACTCAACATGGGATTAGGCCACATGATTTTACTTTTTTTGTTAATTTGGATGCAAACTTACATCTCATTTTGAAACAGTTATATAATTTCAAATTACAGGTAACAATAGTTGTGATATTTTTATTACAAATAAATATTTTTAATATATCTATACCTAAAAACTAACCTAGTTATATATACATATACTACCCTTATATTAAAATTCTTGATGCACATGATAAATATTCGTAACTTTTTTTACTGATAAACTTTCCATTTTATTCTGACTTCATTCTGGATAGATTATTCCATCACACTTTGATCAAACCCAGATTTCGTTATCAACCCTTATTGAATTACATACCATTTGGTTAAACGACCAAGCAACAGTTGATTTCTCATGCAACTAAATAGCAGAGATTGTGCAGTTGGCTTATTGGTGGATATACATTAATTATAGAAAGCATTTCAGTGATTGTTGTGATTTTGATAATCAATGATAAAGAAGAAAGTAATTTTGTGACAGGTTACCAGATAAGTATGTAATAAAACCAAGTGCGATACAGGCAACGTATTCTGATATGACATTATTTCTGTGTGAAGGGAGCAGAATTGGTATTATCTAATAGATATATTTTGTGTGTATGTATGAGAATTAGTCGAGAAACACAAATTAAAGGGATGAGGCTATTATGTAGGACTCTTAGTCAGCGTGGGTCTGGTAGATATTGAGATTGAGGAAAGTAGATGATAATGCTACATAAGTTGGGGGACATCCTCGATGTCCAGGGGTTATGCTCACTTTCACTCTCTACATCCCTGGAATATGTCATAGCAAAATTGAAGGCACACGGCTAGCTATGTGATTGGTGTCAAGCAAAAAGACCTGACCAATCACAAGGCTGATACTTGTAATTTGAAGATTTCAGAGGAGCGACACCCGACTTCAAAGCCAATAAGTTTTACCGTTACGCGACCGCAAGATTCTTTTGATTTACATCAAAGTATGAAACCAGTCTTCTCGTCTCGCCCACAAGGTTGTGCACACTGAGCCTTCGATTTTGCTATGACATATTCCAGGGGTGCAGAGAGCAAAAGTGAGCATAACCCCTGGATTTCGAGGATGGTTGGGGGACTGAATAGAGGTAGGTTGTGAGTAACCAGTATTAAGGTTCAAATTACTGTACTTTCAAGTTGATCCTTGGCTGGATATGGGTTTTGTGGGAATAATCTAGGTGTTTATTAATTGAAGTGTAGAAATGAGTTTTGAGTAGTATAGGGATTGGGGATGAGGTGTATAATCGGATTCTTGTTTTGTAGGGAGCTAATTTATAATCAGTTAATAGCATGGGATTTTGTTATATGTGGTGATGGGAGTTGCTATATAGGTAGGGGGTTACAGGATTTAAGGGATGGTTGGTTAGTGGTAAAGGAACATCTTTGATACTCCAGGGGTTTGCTCACTTTCGCTCTCTGCACCCCTTGAATATGTCATAGCAAAATTGATGACACGCGACTAGCTATTAGTTTGGTCTCAGATAAAAAAAACCTGACCAATCGCTAGGCTGATACCTGTCCTTTGAAGAGGAGCTGACACTCGACTTCAAAGCCAGTCAATTTTAACATATGCCACCAACAGATTCTTTTGAAATACATCAAAAGGTCAAATTTGTCTTCTCATCTCAACCACAAGGTGGAGCATTCTGTGCCTTTGATTTTGCAATGATATATTCCAGGGATACAGAGAGTGACAGTGATTGTAATACCTGGAGTATTGAGGAAGGTAAATGGATGGTCAGAGACAAAGGCAGAATAGATGAAGTAATTAATAAATGAATGGAAGAGACTCATGATCTGAGTCTTTATTTTGGATGATTTACCATTGGATTACAGACCTAAAAAGAGCCCTAGGCTCTCTGCAATTTCGGAAAATAGAATGATTACAAGACCCTCTTGACAAGAAAAGGATTGGGAGCACTTATAGGAATGGGCACTTATTAGGTTAAGAACGGTATTTGATTCTGGTAAATCAGAACGGTGTTCGCTTACTGATTATGACTCTACAAAATCAGGTTTGTGATATAAATGGATAAATCGTGTCAAAGTGTGAAAATGATTAGGATGGTGCATACAAAGATTAATATGAACGCCTTTTTTTCCACATGATTTAATTAAAATTCCCTTGCAATACCTAATTAAGCAGACGGTAAATAGTAGCTGACAACGATATACAGCAACACTCACAACTCCAGAGCTTTCTCTTGTAGTTTTTTCTCATAGTCAGCCTGCATCACATGTTTGGCAAAGTTTATATCCCTCCTTAGGTTTGTCACATCCTTTACAGAAAAACGGAAATATAAATATATTAAACTCAGTGAAGTTTTCAATAAATCATTTTCTAATGGTCATCCTATCTAACTAATTATTTTGTTAGTTTGGAGTTCAGTCATGAATACAAACACACCAGCTGAAATAACTATATGCTTTTCTGAAGTAAACAGCAACACTACAGGTATATTTTGGTAGTCATAACTGAATTTAACATATATATAGTATACTTTTCAAATTTCAAATTTCAAATCAGTTACACACAATGCAACATAATTAACAAACGTTGTTTCTAGGATTTACTTTTTCAGCAGTGTCTTTTTTCTGTATTTAAAAATAACATAGATTAATCAAACATGATCTGTCTGAAGTGCATTTGTTCTTTAGGTCTGATGTATTTAAACATTCTGTTGATCTCGAGGAACTTTTAAAAGTTATTGTTCCTCCAAACTTATAAAAGATTTGTTCACAGTTGAAAAGTACAATTTGAAATTTTATATTGTTCACATTATAATGAACACTCAAGATCCATACATAATTTATGTCCATGCAGCAGTAACATCTTGTCACATTAGATTCATAGCAATGATTAATATAATTGTACATTATAGTCACACTTGTTTCAGAATACCTGGACATACCTGTAGAAGTATTTGTATAATTTCTGTCATCTGCTTGAGGTCGACGACCTCTGTGACATCTGTTTGCGAACATCTGTCCAACGTAAAGAAACCAACCTTGTGTTGGTCTGCCAATGATGGCCTGAAAAACAAACATGATTGAATTATTTTTTATTGTTTTAAACCACAATTAAGTGTTGGGTCAACTGTCAAATACAGTCACACTTCTGTAAACCAAACTCCAATGATTAAAATATCTTGATGTCATTATTGTGTAAAACTTTTGGCAATGTCCAGGTCCAGAGACCATACATGAATCTTTTATTGGAAGGCCAATAAGTGGTCTCTTAACACAGGTGGTCTCTTGATACAGGCTCAGTTCACAAGGAAATCACTACAATGGGGAACATAAAAGCTGTCTCCTCACAAAGGTGGACTATTTGAGGTGTTCACGTGAGCAGGTTTAACTGTATTTAAAGCGTAGGGGTACTGTACACATTCAAGTAAATGACACTAGACTCTATAATAAGTATATCCAGCACCTGTCCTACACACTGTTGCTTACAGTAACTTTGTCTTACATTGATATTCACTACATTAGCTAAACAGTAAAGGTCCTACTTAAAATCAGCTGATCCTCTGTAAATCCCTGCTTGAATTCCAATTGAACGGATCTTGGGAACCGACTCTATATATCTCAGCATGATTTATGAAGTCGACGATGAAACACGCTGCTGAATGTGAACAGAGACGTCGATTTTTATGACGTCACTGTTGATCAAGAAATGATGACGCCATGCACGTGCAGGTGCGCGCCAGCTATCAAAACACACGTGGATCAAAACTTTCACTGTTTATAAGATTCATCACGTTTTTAAACAGCTAAATGTTTGTTTTTTTCTATTTTCCCATTCATTTGTCAATATGGTCACATTCAACAAACGAAAATACAAATTGTGAATGCAAACCATATGCACATCACAACCGATCTGCAAGATAATAACATCATCTTTTGATGATAATATTAACAATAATATGGCGATAACAGAACTCATAACACGAATTCGTATGTTTCTAAGCTACCAACTCGATTGACTTACCTAAATAAATCGACTTCATTTTCTCGCGATCCTAAGATATCTAACACATGAGTCTGTAAACCCTGTTCAGCAAATGCATAATCGCTTCGATCGAGGCGCCGAGGCTTTACAAGCGCCATTTTGTTGCTATCAACATACTATAGACGGCGCGCTCTGTCGATTTCCGGGTAGATAATTCATGCTCAGTCAGAAGCGAGTAAAAAGGGAGCACTCGGCAATTTATGTATATATAGCATTTTCTCTACACCAACTGAACTAACATTTTCTGTATGTAGGTTCTGTATATGACATTTAATGATCATAACACTTATGTTAAGTTAAAACACGGAATTATATACATGAGCTATACGTGTTATAACATTTGAGTCGTTGTATTTGACATAGAAATAATAATTATACTGTTAACTGTGTTACTGACATGACACGGATAATCAGTATATTATGTATATATATACATAGTTTAGCTCCCCCTTTTTGCAAGGCAGATACCAATGATTAGACATCTATATAAATCCTACTTCATATTTAAAATATTAGATGATCATTATTCTCTTCTTGTTGAACCCGATAACGTCTCAAAGTATCATTGAAATTAGATAGCATATCTCAATTGACTTTTTGACTTGATTTCCTATTGATATTAAGATTTAATTCATTTCTGGTACAGGATAGGTTATGATTCTCCACAAAAAACTCAAACTATCAACATCCATTTCCAAATACGATTATATTGATAATCTTTATTCAGCAATAGACACAAATGTCTTTGTGCCATAAATACATTGCATATACAAGGATATATACATGTAGTGGTACAATACATTAAATTACATAAATATATAATAAAGTAAAACAGTGACTTTCCATACATAAATGCAGGTTTCACGACATCAGGGCGGACGTTACTCCTGATTAATAAGTTATTGTTCCGTATCTCATTCGCTTTAAAAATGAAAGCGGCAATATTTTTCAATGTTCCCTTGCTCGTAGACGATATAAGTTCCGGGAACGTTGGTCTATTTGGGTGATGAAAATACCTTCTCTTGATATACATGTATCTTATGTTAGAATATAAGGTACACTCCATAAAGAAATGATACTCGTCCTCTAAAACCCCACAACAACTACATGTACGATTCTCATAAGGAATAGGGTTCTGTCTGTCTGTCTGTCTGTCTGTCTGTCTGTGCCAACGGCCTACCTCAACACTCTAACGATAAGAAGAGACTCTAAATTTTGTTAAAGGCAATACGAAACTTTTTTATGTTGACGAGTTAGAGATATAGTATATATTCGAAATTATTAGAAAGATAAACATAAAATCTTGCTCTAGTAGAGCCAGATAATTCCCTCTGCCAATTTTGAACAAAAACGTCTTTAATTCTTATTTTAAATAAATGCATAAAGGCTTCTATACTACCTACAGACTGCATACATGTACCAAACATATCCAAAACCATTAGTAAAAAGAAGTTCTTTTACCGCACTAGCCCAATTTTGTTTTGAAAACTGTTCAGCGTCCTGATACAAGATGCTATATACTGATCTAACAAGATCGCTTGTTGAATCGCATACTATCTATCATCAGCCAATATTTTATTATTCTGCAATATCTTGTTATTTTTGATGGGAAACGACCTATCTCACCATAAACAAAGTGATTTTGTGTTGTAGGCTTTACATATAATAATCTTTTACAAAACTTAAGGTGTACACGTTCAATATCCCCAGCCGAATGGAAGCCCCATACCTCACTGCCGTAGCAAAGCACGGGCATTACCAATTTATCAAATAAATCACATATATGTTTGGGCGATAAATTAACAAAACGTTATAAGTATTTTTCCATTTTGAATATAGATTTAGTAGCTTGGCCAGCCAGAGTTTTCTGAGCCTCATAAAATGATCACCCCGATGTAAAAACAATGCCCGAAAACGAAAACCTATTCACTATCTCTATTGCTCCGCCGTCATAATAAAATCTAACGTCGCTTGCGACCCTTCCGCCTTTTCTAAAAACCATAACCTTAGTTTTATTTACAGTCAGTTTTAATTTCCGTGTGTTACAATACACTTTCAGTATGTCTAATCCGTGTTGTAACTGTATAGCAGACTCGGAAAAAATTGTGATATCATCCGCGTATAGAACTAAATAGAGTTTTAAATAATCAATTGTTATACCGTCAAAACCATTCAATATAAATTCATTTTCTAAATCATTTGTATGCATAGCAAATAAAAAGGGAGACAGACTTTCACCTTGACGAACCCCAGTTATGCATTGAAAACTTTCTGAAATTTCATTATTTACTTTTACCCTTGATTTGACAGAACTATACATAGCTTTAATTATATCAAGTATTTTACTCCTTACGCCAACTTTTATTAGTTTAAGTCACAAGTTGTCCCTTACAACATAATCAAAGGCTTTTGAGAAATCAATAAATGCACAATGTAGACTCTTCTTTAAATGAAAAAGATGGGAGATAACTCCATTTAAAATAAAGATATTATCTATGGTACTGTGACCCTTCCTAAATCCAGCCTGTGCGCCAACGTAAACCTTATATTTCTCGGCCCAAAAATTAGGCCTATTATTCAAAACCATCGTAAATAATTTCCCAACTACACTCATTAAAGTTGTTCCCCTATAATTTGATACATCGGACAGTGACCCCTTTTATGTAAAGGAACAATATAACCCTCCGTCCATGCATCTGGAAATAATCCTTTCTTAAAAGCAGAATTAAACAATAACAGTATGTATGGTAACAATACATCAACACCCTACATTAAAAATTCATTAATTAATAAATCAGGCCCAGCGCTTTTACCTGGTTTTAGCTGGGCGACCTCTTTCATTATTTCTTCTCGTTCAATATCACAATTCAACTCTTCAAACATGACCTGTATTTCCACGCGTTTTATACGCCCCAGGAGACGAAATAGTATGCATCATAATAGGTATTTGCCGCTTTACATAAACCTTCATTAAAAATATTTACAGCATTTTTCAAATCTGTATTACTAATTTCCGTTGCATTCAATAACCGGTTAACTTCTAGGAAATTCAACATACAATCATCTTTCTGTAAATTTTGCAAAAACACATCTTTAAGTGCAGGATTCCATTTATATTTAATTGACGACATTTCATTCGAAGTATTACTGTTAAAACCACAGGCTACCATAGACGCCTTCATTTCAAAATATACGGCCATATGATCACTGTAAACATTTGGCAAGTCAACATAGAAGTCAACAATAGATGAGAATAATTCCAATCTGATTAAAATCATCTGTTACATGGCTCCGCGTGAACAGATGTTCAGGCGTAGTACTGAAGTTAACGAAGCCATCTTCATCTGTTAGACTTCCTCCGTCGATACCGACGATTACGGAAGTAGAGTCGTTGTGCTATTGTGCGTTAATTATGTACAGCCATGTAACATATGATTTTAATCAGATTGGAATAATTCAGGTGTAATAATTACACATTCGCGAAGGTTAACGATCCTATATACCCGCGTCTTTTCCTACTCTACTAAACCAGAAGACTTACAGAAATCAATCAACTTCAAACCAGTGAATACCGCTTACCCATACTGTCCTCTACGTATTCGTCATCTATAGGTATAAAGTAACTTATATCACTTTCAACGAAGTCAGATAACTCCTTTGTTCTAGCGTTCATGTCACCTGTAATTATAAAATCACAAGTGTCTTCCTCGTCATTAACAATATCAATTAATATGTTATGTAAGCGGTCAAAAGTATCAGCATCTAAAAAAGCCTGTCTACTGGTATTTTCAGGTAAAACATAGCACAAAAAGAGATATACATTTCTTTCAAAACCAGAGAAAGTTTTTTCCATTTTCATCGGCATCTTTAACAACTAATTCAATGCCGGGTACAACAGTATTCCGCAAATACACAATTAAACCACCCGAATTCCGCTTCGTACCTTTACACCTTTCGGTTCTATGTAAAGCATGATTTCAAAATCTTTTACATGTAAATCACTCAATTCTGAGGTCCAATATTCTGTCAGAAGGATTATATCGTTACATTTATATTTTATAAAATTCACTATTCAGTTTATTCAGGCGTTTAGTTATAAGTCCCTGTGTATTTAAACACACAAATTTCACCGAGTTCGTTCCACGTGCATCACGCCCCGCGTCGTCCTATGCCTCGTCGTCACTGTGCCTGTCCCCGCTTAACTATCTTTTAATTTGTTGAAGTCATTGTACTCTAACCTAGTATATTCCATATATTCACCACTTGCATCAAGAAAAAATAATAATAGACAAGTCCTGGACCGTTGTGGTATTTTTTTCTAAATCTGAATTTCTCTGTTAAGTAATCATAAAGTTTGATTTAAAAAGTGTCGGTATTGTCAGGGATGTGTATTGTTTCTTGTGCATTATATAGATCTGTTTAAACAGAGATGAGAAGAAAACATACTTTAAATGATAAGACTATTATATTTATGAGTCCAATTGATAAACACATTGCTTTTTTCGTTTGTTCGTTTGTTCGTTTGTCCGGTTTTGTTCTTATGCTATTCCTGCGTACTTTTAAATTCTTGCAATCGCTTTTGGCATGATGCTGTGGCGTCTGAAAAATGTCAACAGTGGTACCATACAAGCATCTTTCTTTTCTAGGACTGTATTTCTTGACTGGATCGGACAACATAAAGGGGCTATGTTTGTGTTAATTGATTGGAGTAGACCGTCTGACGAGGGCGTGATCACTTAGATTTCGCGACATGTTGTTCGTGTGATTTTATTACAGCTAAGGTCACATGCTAATTCAAATTTCGTGAGATCAAATTTGTTATAGTTTTAAATCACATGTATTTCGCGAAATATCTTGTGTTGGCATTGAATCTCGTAAATTTCGCGAGATGTACTGTTTGCATTAAATCATTAGCTTTCGCAAAATATTTTGTTTGATCTTGCGCGATATATTGCTCGTGTTAGGTCACTTTTAAAGAGCCAACAAAATGTATTGTTTTCGTTGGATCACTAACATCTCCTGAAATGGAACCTTTGTACTAATTGGCGAGGAGAGTTTATCGTTATTCACCCACAAATTAAAATTATCGAGAATAATTTGGTTAATGTACGCTCACGAAAATAAGTAAAAGCCTGATTTAATATATTTCGCTAACAATACAGTCAAACTAGTTGTAACCTTGGGACCAGCAACAGTCACTCATATGCTAGCCCAAGATTCCGCTGACACCAGACTTCTGTCAAAATGTCTAAGTCTGGTGTCAGGGCCAGAGGAAACTCAGGCTACTCATATACATGGTCGATAGCCATTGCGGAAAGACAGCGATTTCATCTCTTGGATCATGGTAAATTCTGAAATCGTAAAATGCTTCAAGTTCCTCTAGGTTCTGTATGTAGTATGTCTGATGCACTGGAGTACCGAAGCGGGCATGGACGCTAGGCGATCTTAAGATATTGGTAAAAATGACTACAAAGTACCGGTACAAATTCATATACAAAGAAAGAAGAAGAGATACCTATTAATGTATGACATATATCATGATGAAACGGACGTCATTGGCATACAAACAGACAGACAGACAGATTCTTTATTTCCTCCATATAGAGATTACATTTTCAAGTGTACGGCAACTAGCATGTTAACACTACGGCGAATAGCTATACTAACATAACCATGTTTAGAGCGAGCATTTGTACTAGCTACGTTTTTTATGTTGTTATACCATTGGAGTAACATACCAATGATGTTGCTTTGTAACACTTTTGAATGATATCGTAAGAGAAGGGGTAAAGAATGTCGAAAGTCTAATGAATGTCGAGTTAAATAATGATAAGGAGTACCCATTTTTCACATGCTATAACACAACTTAAGCTGTTATCTTGACCATAGCGGTGGAGAGTAACTTTATATGTGACCTTGACCATAGAAATGGAGAGTTGGAACTTTAGCTGTGACCTTGACAATAGGGATGGAGAGTTGGAATTTTTGCTGTGAATCTGACAATATAGGTGGATATTTGAAACTTAAGCTGTGACCTTGACAATATGGTGGGAGAGTTGGAACTTAAGCTGTTACCTTGAGAATAGGGTGGAGAGTTGGAACTTAGGTAGAAGGTCACATACTCTTTCCCTGTCACAACGTCAATATACAAAGGAGAGGGGTCACAAAAGAAATTGTAATGATGATGTAGAGAAAATCTGCAATAATACCTAGATTTGCAAAGAAATAAACTATAGTTAAGTTGATATATCCTCAATTTATTCATAGTTATCTGTAAACAGCAAAGTGGTAAAATGCAATACAGACGTCTGAAAGTGTTAAATATGTATACCATTAACAGGCAATGGGAAAACTTAGTTGCATTCCTACTCCAGATTTCAAAGTCTATTCTAACTTTATTTTCATCAACCTTTAATAAGCACTTTTAAATTATGGTCTGAAACCTTGTTTTATAATTGTTACTTTAAAAACAATATTTTGCAACCCTAATATATTGGGGGCTGAAAAACACACACACAATTATTATTTTAGTCAACAGCACAGGTAGACTAGTGGTTAGCACACTGACTTACCTGTACAACTGTATTTATAGTTATACCAATAACTAAAGAAAGAAGCATAATATAGAGTGATTCCATTTATTATCATGACTATATAACTATAAGTAATCATCGTAGCATATAAATGTATATAATCCACTGGCAAATGTCAAGTCAAGACAATATTTGCTGTTGCGAATGAAGATTTAGCGGTACTAAGCAGACTGTTTTTGTAAATAATATGCAACTACACCAAAAAAAATACATGCCTCCTGTTTCAGATATGAATTACAACTATGCTTGACTGTCGTGCTTCTTTATTTGTCTCTACACTACCAGAAAATACAAGAAATATCGGAAAACTTAACGTGATTTGACTACGACCAGCTACCATGCCCGCCTCGGTACTAGCTATACCCGATGTCAGTCCTACACAGTGGTAAAATCTCGTTTAAAGATTTCGAATGGCATTATCATTTCTATGTCCCGTGCACAACAGAGATTATCTATTTCCTGTTCCCCCGATGTAATTATGATATTGCTCTTTCTTTGAAGAATTTCTAGGAAACTCCACTAAAACATTCTGAAAACTTTCTTTTTCACTTTTCACTAAAGACAATCACAGTTCAACAGAAAACATCACGACAGGTACCACATGTGGCGCAAAAAATGCTTCACCTCCCGACAATTTTCTTCAAACTTCAATTTGAAATTGACGACATGTCAAACAAGGGTCTTTTCATAACTTGAACTGCTTTAGAGAAAATTGGCCTGTAATGAAAGTCTTCACTATCGGAAAAATGGACGTCTTAATTGAATTTGTAAAGTGGTAAATTGTCTTCCTCATTATGATTTGTTTTCTGTAAAATGCATTTCTTTATTCTGCAAGGGATTTTTAGTTTTGTTGGAAGCTTTCTGTTGCACAGCCTAGAGCAACTCCTGTTCCTGTTGTGAATAGAACTATGGTTTACAACTCTTTTTATTCTAGCGTGCTGTTTAGTCCGACTTATTCTTACGTTTTATCGACTTGTTTTTATATCGGTTTGTCGTCAATTGACGACAGACCGATATAAAAAAAAGTCGATAAAACGCCAGAATAATTCGGACTAGCGTGCTGTTATGTAGTCTTAAAAGTTATGGTACGTTGCCTGCCACTTTGTATACTGTAGGTACCAAATTTGCACACGATACCTGTGATATACGTTACCTTACACACGATACCTGTGATATACGTTACCTTACACACGATACCTGTGATTTACGCTACCTTACACACGATACCTGTGATATACGTTACCTTACACACGATACCTGTGATATACGCTACCTTACACACGATACCTGTGATTTACGCTACCTTACACACGATACCTGTGATATACGTTACCTTACACACGATACCTGTGATTTACGCTACCTTACACACGATACCTGTGATTTACGTTACCTTACACACGATACCTGTGATTTACGTTACCTTACACACGATACCTGTGATTTACGTTACGGTAACGTATATCACAGGTATCGTGTGTAAGGTGACGTATATCACAGGTATCGTGTGTAAGGTAAAGTCAATCACAGGTATCGTGTGGAAGGTAACGTATATCACATGTATCGTGTGGAAGGTAGCGTAACTTTGATTTGTGCTGAGTTAAGGTTACATTGTAAATGTACCTCACATTTATACCTGCATTCGTGTTAAAGTTCAGGTTTTATGCTTTCTTACACATTTTATCTGTGCTGTATGTTAGAGTTTACATTATGTTGCCATCTTATGTATAACTCATGCTTGAGTTAAGGCTATATGCTACTTTACACATTCACCTGCCATTCGTGCTAGTGTTAAATTTATATACGGATTGAACGGCAATTCTTTTAATATTAAATACTAAAGTTTATAGTTATAATTGATCTAAGCATAGGTATTCCCTTAAATATTTTCGATATTGAAGTGTCTGTGTCGTCAGTGCAAACAAGATTCCTGGAACAGCCTTACGTCAACAAAATGTTTGCTTCTGACACTTGCCTCACGTTATTCGAGGCTGAAAGAAAACCTTCAAAATGACGCTGATCATGTTGCTTTAATAGCCATATGAATGCAATTTCTTCTGGTAATACTTATACAGGAACTTGAAGTGGAAATGTAAATAAACTTATACCTGTGCTCTGAGCCAGAATTAGAGTAACACCTTTACACATCACACATGTGATTGTGTAAGTTAAGGATACATGGGATGTATCACACTACCTTAAACACTTTATCTATGATTTGTGTTAGGGTTAAGGTCACTTTCACCTTAATGCATCAGGGCTATATCATTAGGTCATGTAAATATTTTATTTAAAGCATAAGATAAGTCAAATGGAAAAGCGACCCTTTATTTAGTAAACATTGCATAATTAACATAAATTACCACAACAAAATAATGAGCAACTTCCACAAATATTAATGGAACATTAATAAAGTTATCATATTTATAATAAAAATGGCTATTATCGATTTGTTATCTGATATATAGCAATTCATTCCTTTTCATGCTAAGATAAATAAATAATTTCATTACATTGGAGAGTTTGCTAAGGGCCCTGTCACACCTAGCCGTGTTGCCACTGCGATTGCGCAGCGTTGTTAAATTTTCCCAGAGCGCCCTGAGATCGCACTAAAAATTGATATATTTCATGTTGATATTTTTCATGAAGATGTCAATGTCACGGCGTTCTCATGGTGAACTTGGCGTTTCTAAGGAGCTGCATGGCGTTCTACCGCGTTCCTACGGAGTTCTAGTTGGCGATTGTCTGCGCTCTCATGGCGCTTCACGTCACGGCGCCGTATAAGTGCGGTACAGACACAGTGTCATCTCAGAGAACGCCATTCGGCATTCTATGCAAACCCACTGCATTCACTGGCGATGCCACTGTGTTGCCGCGGCGATGCTTGCGATTCCACTGCACGCAGATTGGTGTTCTGGATTTTTCTTGGACGCCGTGGGAACGCGGCCCTAGTATGACAGGGGTTTAACATTGTAAAGAATACATGAAATGATTATACAGGTTTAATGTGTTTTATTATGTGTACCCGTGAATTACTTAAGTATATCTAAAATTCATTAAACAATTTTGGATTATTTTTTCTCTGGATTTAGGGCCGATTTCTGTTCTCCATTCTCTATCTTTCTCAAAGGTTAGGGGGATAGGAGCTATATAAGTACAGAGAATGAATACACTTGTTAATCGGTCATTCTGTTTTAATTCTCTCTTTAACTACGATCGTGTCACCCCATCAAACTTGAGTTGGTCAGTATAATGACCAGTTGGGTGTAGTTAAGACCCGACTCTCCTGATCCTGTTACATCACAGTGAGACCTTAACACATTTTCATGAATTCTCAATGGTCCCAATAGGATTAGAATACAGTACACTTCCCAGATAAAACAATGCAGGCATTGTACTCCTATTGTTGCATAAATGTATTACATTCAATATATTTTCTGTGGAATTCACTTACCATAATATTACAAGCAGGTAACGGGAGGAGTGTCAACCTCTAGTTTTCTATAATTTATTAGTTTTAATTGCTTACATGCTTGGGATGGCTAGGTCAATCCATATTCGGACTTCTGATGACAGTTGGCCTAGCCATCCAAAATGAAGTCTTTAATTACAGAATCTTGGTTGTTGACACTCCTTAACTTATTTACCTGGATTTCTCTACCAGAATATTGAACCACCATTACTTTAAGGACATAAGACCTCCATGCCTAAGTGTTGAATTATCAATACATTTAATATTTTGAGCATAATGCCAGGAATTGTTTTAGTCAGACAAGGAAAATCTTAACTAAAATGTCCATCTTGTGACAATTTTTAGAGCAGAAACAATGCCCTTTTCTGTATTAATTCCTATGATGCCTCTCACTCAGTCTGTACTTTGGTTTTTGATGTGATCCTCCATCTTACTGAAGCAGTCTGTGAGGTCAAGTTTCAGTGGGGTTGTGTTAAGGTGGGTGCCGAAGGAGAAACAATTTCCCCCGCCCCCAATCACAACAAAACTGTAATCCCCGAGGTACACGCTGGTGTGTCGATGTAGCATCACAATGGACTCCTTCTTCTGGGCCTGTAGATACATAACACATACAAGACACATGAATATAAACAATGAACAGCGCATAGTCCATCATCAAGGCCCTGCCATGTGTACCTAAATGTACCCTACCTGGATTTTTTTTTAGTAACAGTGACCTTGACCTTAGAAACTGTGCAACACCTTTTGCACATCTACTTTAAATTTTGGAAAGAACTCCTTGGGATTATGAGATAACGCCCGGAAATGTAGGGGTGGACGAACAGACTGACACCATGATTACTATAGGGCAGCCAAATTTCCAATGCGGGGCACTAATATTTCTTAAGATTGACATCACGAATTAATATTTTAGTGTCTACAGTCATAATTGATACAACAACTTTTACTATTATAGTAAATTAAACATATAATGATAGTGCTTGACGCACTGTAAATTGTAGTAGCGATTGACGTCACTCTGACCTACTTACCTGTAGTGGAAACTCGAGAGAGATGAGGGACGGCAGGTGTACGAGAGCCACTCCTGGCTGGGTGTGGTTAAAGTTCACTCCACCAATGAGCACCAAGTACTCTCCAATCACATGACTAGAATGGGAATACCTGAAATACAGAGAACAAAACAGTAATACAATCTGGGGGTACATGCCATTATTGTGAAACGTATAGTTAAAATGACAAATATTGGATTTTTTTCATTTTTCATTTTTTTACTTACCGACTCAGCATGAGTCCCTTTAAAGCAAAGGTTTCCCATTCACAGGTAGTGACATCAAAAGTGTGTACAGAGTTCAAGGGATGTAGGTGCGAGTCAAGGCCACCTGACAGTATGACCTTTTGACCCCAGATCGTGATGGAATGGGCCTGTCTTGGAACTGGGACAAAAGCCGACTCAGCAGATGACACCTGAAATTATTGTGACATTTCTTCAGCATTCTCCAGAGAGACACTGTGATAATGCATCTTCTACAAACAAACATTGATACTGTAACCTGCAATCTTGTTAACAATGTTGATGTCAAACTGATATTGATGATTTAACACTGACAATGATGATGCCACAATGACAGTGATGATGTCACAATGACAGTGATGATGTCACAATGACAGTGATGATGTCACACTGACATTGATGATGTCACACTGACAATGACGATGTCACACTGACAATGATGATGTTACACTGACAGTGTTGATGTCACAATGACAATGATGATGTCACAATGACAATGATGATGTCACTATGACAGTGATGATGTCACAATGACAATGATGATGTCACAATGACAGTGATGATGTCACACTGGCTGATGATGTCACACTGACAATGATGATGTCACAATGACAGTGATGATGTCACACTGATATTGATGATGTCACACAGACAGTTGTGCAAGACTACAACCACTATAAATATTAAAAACCAAGTTTGATAATAAACTTTTCTCTGTTACAGTAATATTTTTCAAGGTACATATTGACATAAAACACACTTGATTTTTGTTTGTTTTTAAATGTAACCAATACCGGAACAATCACAGAACTAATGTTAAATATGAGCACCATCAGCAATAAATGATAACATTCAGAAAATATTCAATACCTGCTTAAGAAATATTTAAATATACAATGAATTGTGCAAGTATAATATAGGTTTTCCCATCCCTCCGTCCATCCCTCTGTCCATCTGCCTTTGGGTCTGTCCCCAGTATTCACAACTTTTCTAAATCTTAGAGAGAATGGATAGTGTCAAGGTGATTTAGAAGTTTTATACCCCAAACAATAGTTGTCCAGCATTTTAAACTGGCTGATCGAAATTTATGAAATTTAACTTTCACTAGCAGCACTAACCTTAGACCATCTGCCCGAGACGGTGTCCAGGAAGTACCCATCGTTGAGTGCAAGAACATTCTCAGTCCGTCCCCCAAACAGGAAAACACATTCCACACCTACAAAACAAATGTCATGCTTAAACCATTGAAGATAGAGTAAGATACGAGATAAGCAGGATTACAGACACAAGATTCAGTGTTGTCTTTTCAAACATTTTATCAAAAGATTCATTCTCAGGTTCATTCTTTTTTCACAAACTTTGTTCAGTACAATAAAAGTTTTAAAACAATAGATACATCATTTTTTATTATTCCTACATGTATCAAGATTGAGTTTTATTCTTGCACTAAAATACAAGAATTTTGAATTGGATGTCATTCTTTCACTAAAACTGAACTTTATTACTGTAAAAGTGGAAATTTCACACTGGCGATGGTTCTGAAATGCATATGTTCTGTATATCTATATTTTATGTAATCCATATTAAAAGAATTTTCATGTGTGGATATCTTCCACTAATTCACTCAATGCAAAAAAGTGAGAAACTCCACATATTGAAAATATCTATTTCCACAGTACCTCTAGATTTAACGAGAATTTTGATTGGTATTTTATTTATTAAGATTGGTCTACTGCTAGAGATATTTTATAGTTTCTTACCTCCCCTGTTGACTACTAGGGCAGAATGCCTCCACCGTGGACATGGGATATCCCCACTAACGGACATCACACTAATATCAACATTAAGGGGCCCTCCTTTTCCGTCAGTCACAAACTCTTTATTCTCGTCCTTTCCTTTGTTCTTTCGACTTGAATTTCTTGCCGCATTTCTTGCACCCCTGTGATTTGAATTTCCGTTATTTTTGCTCTTTCCCGTTTCCCTGTGACATGGATTTCTCGGCTCTATCACAGAATTACCTAACACACACTCAGGTCTTTCTGCGTCAGACTTTGACGTTTTATTCACATTTGCCGGTTTCGATACCTGAGGATTTCTAACTTTACTATTCAATCCACACTGTCTTGAAACACTTTCTGCTAAACTATCACAGGAGCATTCACCTGAATTTTCTATATTTGGTACACTATCCTGAACGTTTCTTATATTAGTAGCAGTACTCTCAGTCTCCACTGTGTTGTTAGTTTCTTCTTGTGTCCTGGAATTGTTTACTATGGAATCATTGGTCTTCAACAGCTGCTCTGAATGGTCAGAAGTTGAAATTTCTTTGCTAATTGTGGTTTCTGATTGGTTATTATCCAAACCAATGAAACTCAGTCTAACAACTTGATGACAGAGTCTGATCGGTGATGTCCTCCCTCCAATGAGCAGAACAGAGTTATCTTTCATAGCACATATCACATGATGCATCCGATTGACTGAAACAATAATTTCCAGACTTTACTGAATTTGTTGATAAATACATAAAGAGAAGCTCCATAATTTAGACTGCTAAGGCAGTGTAAAATAGCTACAGGGTCACTATGACTCATTATTATACTCTGGCTAATTCACCAGCAGGACTCAGCTGTATGAGATGTCAATTTCTCATGACACATTCAGGAGTAAATTTTAAATTTGTGATATTTCATAATTTGTTATAACATAAAACAAACTATACATGTCCTGCCATCTTAAATGATCCACATCAATAAAACAAAATTTCGCATATTTCTACATAACAGATCATTAATGAAGCATGATACAATTGAACATCAAATGAAAAATTACAGAATCAATCAATAAGTCTGCTCCCCATACATTCCACATACCCCACTCCCCATACATTACATATACCCCACTCCCCATACATTACATATACCCCATTCCCCATACATTACATACACCCCACTCCCCATACATTACATATACCCCACTCCCCATACATTACATACACCCCACTCCCCATACATTACACATACCCCATTCCCCATACATTACATATACCCCATTCCCCATACATTATATATACCCCACTCCCCATACATTACATATACCCCACTCCCCATACATACATATACCCCACTCCCCATACATACATATACCCCACTCCCCATACATTACAAATACCCCACTCCCCATACATTACATACACCCCACTCCCCATACATTACATATACCCCATTCCCCATACATTATATAAACCCCACTCCCCATACATTACATATACTCCACTCCCCATACATTACATATACCCCACTCCCCATACATTACACATACCCTCAATTGTCTTTGGATCCACACTCGGGTAATGGAAGCGAGAACCGTAAGTGGTCAGGTCTGTTACAACAACATCAATGAGCCGTCTGTGTTTACCATACTGCTCCCCGAAGCCTCCCACAGTCACAAAGAAGTTGTTACCATGGAGATGTGTACTGCTATGACCAAATCGCAACATAGGATAGCTTACAGGCACATGTTCTACACAAACACTTGGCAGGTCCGGATCTGTGCTGTCCAAATGTTTGTAGGTTTTCTGGGATATGTCTGAAAGAAATGAAAGCAATCCCATCAACTTTTGCATTACAATGAAGAGTGCCCAGTGTTGCAAATACATGTTATAATAATGTATGAATAAGAACACTTAAAATTTCAAAGTCTTATGTCATACAATATGTATGTAACAAAAAGCACAAAGTAATACATAACCTCTGACCTTATATAATTACCCTATAGAAGTTTACCAGAGTCTCCAAAGTACCCACACATGACCTATGACCTTTCCCTGTAGAGGTACATGTAAACTAGACTAAAGACTTATGGCCTTACCCTGTATAAGCTTACCTGTCTCCATTGCAACAGCACATGACCTATAACCTATGACCTCACCTTGTAGAAGTTTACCACAGTCTCCAATCTAACCACACACTAACTATGACCTATGACCTTACCCTGTAGAAGTTTATTACAGCCTCCAATGTAACTACACATGACCTATGACCTTACCCTGTAGAAGTTTATTACAGTCTCCAATGTAACCACACATAACCATGTAATGACTACTCATAAGATGCCATTCTTCGTACTCGTCAAATGGCTCCATCATTTCCACCAGGTGGTGCTGTTGGCCGGTCACCAGTGTCGTGTAAATCTGGTTCATATCCAGTGCCTCTGTCCATTCCCAGCCCTAGTACAGACAAAGAAAATTGTTTTATTTCCTTTGTAAAAATAGGAAGTAATACTGTAAATCAGTTACTAGTAAGTCAACATCAAATGATATGTTATATGTAAAATTTGGAGATGATATATACATAATATATATTAGAATCTGTGTCTAACTATGTTTCTGTAAAGGTGCCAACTTTACCAGGGTACTCCATACCTCAAACAAAACACTGTCAACTTTACCAGGGTACTCCATCCCTCAAACAAAACACTGTCAACTGTACCAGGGTAGTCCATACCTCAAACAAAACACTGTCAACTGTACCAGGGTACTCCATACCTCAAACAAAACACCGTCAACTGTACCAGGGTACTCTATAACTCACACAAAACACCGTCAACTGTACCAGGGTACTCCATACCTCAAACAAAACACTGTCAACTGTACCAGGGAACTCCATACCTCAAACAAAACACTGTCAACTGTACCAGCGGACTCCATACCTCAAACAAAACACAGTCAACTGTACCAGGGGACTCCATACCTCAAACAAAATACTGTCAACTGTACCAGGGTACTCCATCCCTCAAACAAAACACTGTCAACTGTACCAGGGTAGTCCATACCTCAAACAAAACACTGTCAACTGTACCAGGGAACTCCATACCTCAAACAAAACACTGTCAACTGTACCAGGGTACACCATACCTCAAACAAAATACTGTCAACAGGAGAAACAGAAACTCCCTATCAGTGATGTTCCTCAGCTGTCAAATTCTTATGTTTGCTGAATGTTTGTCACAATATTTCAGAAAATTTGCACTTTTTCTTAAACTAATAAGAAAGTGACATAAGGCCCCTTACCTTTTGTCATGACCTTGACATTTTATGTAAGGATCAGAGTGTACTATGACACCATACGGTGTCAAACTATGACAGATGCATCTATGATTAATGATAAAATCAGAAGTCTGTAACAAGATGGTTTAGACCTCCATGTGATACACAACACTCCATCTGGACATGGCAAGACACCTTGAAGAAGTTTAGTGACAATAAGGTGGGAAAGCAATCAGACATTATGATCAAGAAAAACAGCAGATTTAACAAATTGACTGAAGTATACCCCCACATTACCTTGTAGTGTGTGGGTGGGTACGTGGGTGGATGCGTGGGTGGGTGCCTGAGTGACGCACATTATGCTGTACTTACCAGTTTTAGGAACCGCTCCTGTTGGGACTGCAGTGTGGGAAAGGCAGTGATACATCGGAGTGGTGAACCGACTACCTGGAAATGTCTTTGCCTGTAAAAAAACATAAAAACTTAAACAGGAGAGAACAGTCTGATAGGCCAAGATAATATTGTTATATTCTGGTCTAATGTACAGTAAAACTTGTACAATCTGACCGGAATTTACAACATCATGTGAAACCTGGTAAGCCTGACCGCGATATCCTATGAAACCCTGTTTAATCTGACCGCAAAATACTATGGAACCTGTCTAGTCAGACCCCAACACTATGTGAAATCTGTCTAGTCAGACCCCAACATACTATGAAACCTGTCTAGTCAGATCCCAATATTCTGTAAAACATGTCTAGTCTGACCCCAACATTCTGTGAAACCTGTCTAGTCAGACCCGAAAAGTCTGTGAAACCTGTCTAGTCAGACCCCAACACTATGTGAAACCTTTCTAGTCAGACCCCAATATTCTGTGAAATATGTCTAGTCAGACCCCAACACTATGTGAAACCTGTCTAGTCAGACCCAAACATACTGTGAAACCTGTCTAGTCAGACCCCAACACTATGTGACACCTGTCTAGTCAGACCCAAACATACTTTGAAAGCTGTCTAGTCAGACCCCAATATTCTGTGAAACCTGTCTAGTCAGACCCCAAGATCCTGTGATACTGGTTTAATATGACCCAAACACTATGTGAAAACTGTCTAGTCAGACCCCAACATGCTGAGAAACCTGTCTAGTTAGACCCAAATATTCTGTGAAACCTGTTTAGTCAGACCCCAAGATCCTGTGATACCTGTTTAATTTGACTCAAATACTCTGTGAAATATGCCTTATCTGCAGAATTCAAACGGCAAATTTCTTAACAGGAAGTTATATTCATATGTAATTACTAACTGTTTGGCAAACTGACTTGACTTTGAATGAAGTAAAATAGCACAAACTTTAAATTCTATTAATTTAAACCTGAATTTTTAGAGACCCCTGTCTAATCTGACTGACAAATGTACTTCCATAAGATGCTTAGTTTCAGTTATCACAATGAATCAACAACTTCACAATTACAGGACTTGAATAGTACTATGGTGAGAAAAGGTTTCTCTCTACTTACATAAATAGTCCAAAGGCATCATAGGGATTTATCTGTGAAACAATACAGAAAAACATTCAATGAATTTATCAATAAATAATCTCAGAAAAGGAAGCGAAACCAACTTTTAGTTTAAAAGACAATAATTTTTCATACAATTTACCGGTAATACTGGTAATAGCATTGGTAGAAAAATATTCATAACAATTATTACCTGTTCATATAAAACAAACACAGCATTGATGAAGGTTTCTGAGGCCCACTTCAGGACAGCAGAGGAACTGTAAATACAAACAGAAATATCCACTACATTAATTGTATATCCTACTGTAGCTTCTGCTTCTATAAATCTATCAGGATCTTGAGAATGTAAACAGGTTCATTATTGTTTATCCTAATATAGTTTTATTTGTGTGAAACTGTATTTTATACAGACTGACTAGTTATAGGTCCTGTAGGCAAAAACACACTCTTAGATGTGGTAGATACAGACTGACTAGTTAAAGGCCCTGTTAGCAAAAACACACTCTTAGATGTGGTAGATACAGACTGACCAGTTATAGGTCCTGTTGGCAAGAACACACTCTTAGATGTGGTAGATACAGACTGACTAGTTATAGGTCCTGTTGGCAAGAACACACTCTTAGATTGGGTAGATTATACAGACTGACTAGTTAAAGGTCTTGTTGGCAAGAACACACTCTTAGATGTGGTAGATACAGACTGTCTAGTTATAGGTCCTGTTGGCAAGAACACACTCTCAGATGTGGTAGATACAGACTGACCAGTTATAGGTCCTGTTGGCAAGAACACACTCTTAGATGTGGTAGATACAGGCTGACTAGTTATAGGTCATGTTGGCAAGAACACACTCTCAGATTGGGTAGATACAGACTGTCTAGTTATAGGTCCTGTTGGCAAGAACACACTCTTAGATGTGGTAAATACAGACTGACTAGTTATAGGTCATGTTGGCAAGAACACACTCTCAGATGGGGTAGATACAGACTGACTAGTTAAAGGTCATGTTGGCAAGAACACACTCTTAGATGTGGTAGATACAGACTGTCTAGATATAGGTCATGTTGGCAAGAACACACTCTTAGATGTGGTAGATACAGACTGTCTAGTTATAGGTCATGTTGGCAAGAACACACTCTCAGATTGGGTAGATTATACAGACTGACTAGCTAAAGGTCTTGTTGGCAAGAACACACTCTTAGATGTGGTAGATACAGACTGACTAGTTATAGGCCCTGTCAGCAAGAACACACTCTTAGATGTGGTAGATACAGACTGACTTGTTAAAGACCCTGTTGGCAAGAACACACTCTTAGATGTGGTAGATACAGACTGACTTGTTAAAGACCCTGTTGGCAACAACACACTCTTAGATGTGGTAGATGCAGCCTGTCTAGATATAGGCCCTGTCAGCAAGAACACACTCTTAGATGTGGTAGATACAGACTGTCTAGATATAGGCCCTGTCAGCAAGAACACACTCTTAGATGTGGTAGATTATACAGACTGACTAGTTAAAGGCCCTGTCGGCAAGAAAACACTCTTAGATGTGGTAGATACAGACTGTCTAGATATAGGCCCTGTCAGCAAGAACCCACTCTTAGATGTGGTAGATACAGACTGTCTAGATATAGTTCCTGTTGGCAAGAACACACTCTTAGATGTGGTAGATACAGACTGTCTAGATATAGGTCCTGTTGGCAAGAACACACTCTTAGATGTGGTAGAGTATACAGACTGACTAGTTAAAGGCCCTGTCGGCAAGAACACACTCTTAGATGTGGTAGATACAGACTGACTAGTTAAAGGTCTTGTTGGCAACAACACACTCTCAGATGTGGTAGATACAGACTGACCAGTTATAGGTCCTGTTGGCAAGAACACACTCTCAGATGTGGTAGAGTATACAGACTCAATAGCTATAGGCCATGTCGGCAAGAACACACTCTTTGATGTGGTAGATTATACAGACTGACTAGATATAGGTCCTGTTGGCAAGAAAACACTCTTAGATGTGGTTGATTATACAGACTGACTAGATATAGGTCCTGTTGGCAAGAAAACACTCTCAGATGGGGTAGATACAGACTGACTAGTTAAAGGTCTTGTTGGCAAGAACACACTCTCAGATGTGGTAGAGTATACAGACTGAATAGCTATAGGCCCTGTCGGCAAGAACACACTCTTTGATGTGGTAGATTATACAGACTGACTAGTTATAGGTCCTGTTGGCAAGAATACACTCTCAGATGTGGTAGATACAGACTGTCTAGATATAGGTCCTGTTGGCAAGAACACTCTCTTAGATGTGGTAGATTATACAGACTGTCTAGATATAGGTCCTGTTGGCAAGAAAACACTCTCAGATGGGGTAGATACAGACTGACTAGCTAAAGGTCTTGTTGGCAAGAACACACTCTCAGATGTGGTAGAGTATACAGACTGAATAGCTATAGGCCCTGTCAGCAAGAACACACTCTCAGATTGGGTAGATACAGACTGACTTGTTTAAGACCCTGTCAGCAAGAACACACTCTCAGATCAGGTAGATTATACAGACTGACCAAAAATATGTCGTGCCAGTGAGCTAGATAGACTGACCAAAGATTTTATTATGTAGATGTACACACACAAGAACAGTAGAAGGGTAAGGGTAGCTTACAGACTGAATAGATATACGAGTGTCATGTAAGCAAGGACACATTCAGACATTATGATGGTAGAGTAAAGTTAGACACAGATTGACCAGCAACATGTCATGTAGGCAAGGAGACATTCAGACAAAAGGCAGTGAGGTCCAGTTAGACATAGACTGACCAGTAACATGTCATGTAGGCAAAGACACATTCAGACATAAGGTAGTGAGGTCAAGTTAGACAGACTGACCAGCAATATATCATGTAGGTAAGGAGACATTCAGACAAAAGGTAGTGAGGTCCAGTTAGACATAGACTGACCAGTAACATGTCATGTAGGCAAGGACACATTCAGACATAAGGTAGTGAGGTCAAGTTAGACAGACTGACCAGCGACGTGTCATGTAGACATTCAGACATAAGGTAGTGAGGTCAAGTTAGACAGACTGACCAGCAACATGTCATGTAGGCAAGGACACATTCAGACATAAGGTAGTGAGGTCAAGTTAGACACAGACTGACCAGCAACATGTCATGTAGGCAAAGACACATTCAGACATAAGGTAGTGAGGTCAAGTTAGACAGACTGACCAGCAACATGTCATGTAGGCAAGGACACATTCAGACATAAGGTAGTGAGGTCAAGTTAGACACAGACTGACCAGCAACATGTCATGTAGGCAAAGACACATTCAGACATAAGGTAGTGAGGTCAAGTTAGACAGACTGACCAGCAACATGTCATGTAGGCAAGGACACATTCAGACATAAGGTAGTGAGGTCAAGTTAGACACAGACTGACCAGCAACATGTCATGTAGGCAAAGACACATTCAGACATAAGGTAGTGAGGTCAAGTTAGACAGACTGACCAGCAACATGTCATGTAGGCAAGGACACATTCAGACATAAGGTAGTGAGGTCAAGTTAGACATAGACTGACCAGCAACATGTCATGTAGGCAAAGACACATTCAGACATAAAGTAGTGAGGTCCAGTTAGACAGACTGACCAGCAACATGTCATGTAGGCAAGGACACATTCAGACATAAGGTAGTGAGGTCCAGTTAGACAGACTGACCAGCAACATGTCATGTAGGTAAGGACACATTCAGACATAAGGTCGTGAGGTCAAGTTAGACACAGACTGACCAGCGACGTGTCATGTAGGTGAGAACACACTCAGACAGCAGGAGAGTAGGCCGGTCAGTGTCCACGCCACAGTGGGTCAGCACAGCCTCCAGGGTGTTCAGCTGAGTTAGATCAACACCAACCAAGGTGTAACCTGGTGTGTGTATCTCTATAAAACATCAAGTACAAAAATGAATTAATTAAATAAATATTCTAAAACATGGAAAAAATATCTAGCAAATGGATAAAAAACTTTCATGTTTATTTTTAGGTGCACCATAAATGAAAGATTAACTAAATGTCTTAAGGACTCATTGAAATTTTAGCTGGACTAACTTATCATTTTATTTCTCTTAAGACCTTGATCAAGTGACACCTAGCTAGACAATTTTATTTCTCTGAAGACCTTGATCAAGTGACACATAGCTAGACCATTTTATTTCTCTGAAGACCTTGATCAAGTGACACCTAGCTAGACCATTTTATTTCTCTGAAGGCCTTGATCAAGTGACACATAGCTAGATCATTTTATTTCTCTGAAGACCTTGATCAAGTGACACCTAGCTAACCCATTTTATTTCTCTTAAGACTTTGATCAAGTGACACCTAGCTAACCCATTTTATTTCGCTGAAGACCTTGATCAAGTGACACCTAGCTAACCCATTTCATTTCTCTTAAGACCTGGATCAAGTGACACCTTGCTAGACCATTATATTTCTCTTTAGAGCTTGATCAAGTGACACCTAGGTAACCCATTTCATTTCTCTAAAGACCTTGATCAAGTGACACATAGCTAGACCATTTTATTTCTCTGAAGACCTTGATCAAGTGACACCTAGCTAACCCATTTCATTTCTCTTAAGACCTTGATCAAGTGACACCTAGCTAACCCATTTTATTTCTCTTAAGACTTTGATCAAGTGACACCTAGCTAACCCATTTTATTTCTCTTAAGACTTTGATCAAGTGACACCTAGCTAACCCATTTTATTTCTCTGAAGACTTTGATCAAGTGACACCTAGCTAACCCATTTTATTTCTCTGAAGACCTTGATCAAGTGACACCTAGCTAACCCATTTCATTTCTCTTAAGACCTTGATCAAGTGACACCTAGCTAGACCATTATATTTCTCTTAAGAGCTTGATCAAGAGACACCTAGGTAACCCATTTCATTTCTCTGAAGACCTTGATCAAGTGACACCTAGCTAATCCATTTTATTTCTCTTAAGACCTTGATCAAGTGAATCCTAGCTAACCCATTTTATTTCTCTGAAGACTTTGATCAAGTGACACCTAGCTAGACCATTATATTTCTCTTAAGACCTGGATCAAGTGAATCCTAGCTAACCCATTTTATTTCTCTGAAGACCTTGATCAAGCGACACCTAGCTAGACTAAATCTAGGATCAGGACTCTTGCTGCGGTCAGCTCTTTACATATAATGTAACATAAATAAGATATTATAAAGCACAAACCGATGAGTGGGTTCTGGTCAGTATGTTGCTGATGAAAGCCTGGAATGAGATCACTTAGGATGTCCTTAGCCTTTATAATAGCACATTTCCTTTTCACCACCTCTGGGAAGTCCACCTGTGAAATGCAAAAAGATTTTGATAATCCATTCAATCGTCATATCTAGTCAGTTTACATTATCCAGTTACTGAAGTATTCATCAATCAATAAACAATTGCATTATGTGAATATTTTTATAATATAATCATGAATGAAACTAATTGAATATCATACAGTATACCACACTGGCAATGTGACAACAATTTTCACTGGTAAATTATCATGTATTGTTGAGAAATAAACTTGCATGTACCATGCTCCTCCAAAGGTCTTCCCATACTTACTGTAAATTGTAAACATATGAGTCATGTGCCATTGTTCATTGATAAGTTTACTTTGTGGAGAAAAATACATGTACATGCATGTGCATATCCAATAGCTTACACATAGATCCACCTTACTCTGGCAGAATACGATCTAGCTTCCACATAGATCCACCTTACTCTGGCAGAATACGATCTAGCTTCTTCATAGATCCACCTTACTCTGGCAGAATATGATCAAGTCTAGGAAATATGACATCAGCAATACCATGTCTTTTTGATAAAATGAAAATGAGGCATCCATGTTTATCAATTGATATAACTTCAGCCTAATCCTCTGCACAAAAATTTGGACATTAAATATGTATAAACTAAGCCTTAGTTTAAACATATTTAATGGTCAAATTTTTGTGTCGTAAAGGCATCATATGACCCAATGTTTGAATGTGCAAAAGAACAGTCAAATTTAAATAATTGGAGAATCTTGGCCACATTGCCGCATAGGCACTGAAGCAGACACAAAAGTACATTTTAAAACATTGTGTTGATGCAGCCTACATTTGTTATTTATTTTGAATTATTCTTTATTCCAAATGAAAAATATATCTTGAAAATGTTTTTTCGATATAGTCTGACATTTCAAGAAAAGATGTTGGAAATAAAAAGTTTCAAATACCTCATAGAATGAAACATTTCTCAATTTGTCGGCAGCTTTCAGGCGAAAGTAGGCAGAGTCGAAGCCTGCTCCAAGGGAGATAATCTGTTTTGGTCCTTGGTGTAGGGTAAGGAATTTCTGAAGTATATGGTCTATTGTCAGAGCCCGAACGAAATAACCTCTGAAATCAAACAGAAATGTGGGATTACTTCTGGTATCAGGTTACAATCCAGACACTCACTGCATCAATTGATCAAATTACTAATCTTATTGTATTTCCATCATATGCAGGAAAATTAAACTTCTTGATTAATGCTGTCAAAGGCATAGCTAGCCTTTTTGGAGAGGATTCCTTTAGCAGTGGTTTCAGAGGAGGGCCTTTGTAGGGGACAAGGGGGCACAACAAGCACTGTTTTTGTTATGTTTTGTTTTTCTGTTTGAAAATTTGCTGGATTCACCTGGGTACCAGCGTATAGACATGTACAATGTGCAGGTAAAGTTCATGTTCCTACATTTAGTTCCTACACTAGAAATAAGACCTTACCTTTACAAGGTTCCACTTGTTACTGATATTTTGGTCCTTTTTCCTTTATAGTTAATTCTTGCTCACATTTTGACGAGGTATAAGGGAAAGCCCTGGTAAAACAAGGTGTTAAATGTGGTCTATTTTCTCAAGTGCAAGCTCATAGTGACAGTCACACCAAATGGAGACATGTTGGTGATTTGAAATGCTGATGAAGCTTAAAGCTAACACTGTAGGTGATACCTCTAAAAGATTTAATCTCAACAACCCTATAGGGCCACCCAAATGCTCCCATAGAGACCATATACCCTTCATTTATACATCAATGAATTCAGTACGGAATCCCCTTTAGTCACTGCCCTTCGACCCCTGGAGGTGTCATGTCAGTCATTTATACGTTAAATTTCCTTGGCCTAGGGTAGGTATATAGGTCCAAATCCCTTTACTCATACCAACCAATAAGATTAACCCCATTTGCCCTTTAGTGAGGCCAAATTCTTCATTTATAGTATAATAAATTTGTTTGCCCCAGGAATGATCCAAGCCAAATTTTGTCAAAATCCTTTCAGTCACTCTGGACTTAAGTAGTCTTTCTTTTAAAGGAAAAGTCGAGGACATGTGCTGTATGTGCCATGGAATAATCACACTTAGCCCTTCCAGACAGGTGAGTTCAAAACAACTTTGAATTTTAACTTTTTTATCAATACATTTTACAGAAGACTGCCACATCCCCTGTCAGCACATCCCTTTCCTAAAGTTTTTGCAATAGCTACCAGAAGGCAGGTCGCTTTTATCAGTTTATCTCCCTTTTGACACCATGAATTGAAAGGTTATTACATAAATTACCTGTGTATGAGGGGAGCCCTTCTTGTGACCTTTGACACAAACTCCTGGAGGTAGACATCATCAAAGTAGCCAATGGCAGCCATGGAACACTTACTCACTATGGAGTTGTCATTGGTCCCTTGGACCTGTGAATGTATAAGATAATAAACATCATCACCATTGATCTGTAGAGTTAAAAGTGCAGATAACTTTAAACTTTGGAGAGTTACTAACAAACAAAGGCTGCAGATAAACACACGATTGGTCATAAGGGCCAACAAATGGTCGACAAAGACAAATGATAAATCAAATTTTAAAGGTGTGAAAAGGAAGAAAGAACAGAGAGGAAGAAAAGAGAAAGGACAGAAACAAAATCAACACTATATACATGGGACTCTTGAGGATTTACCTCGCCCGACCATTCCAGAGGAATGCACAAAGGGCTGGCCCGAAGGCGGATACCTGTATACCAAACCCCCCTGAAAGGCATGCACAACGGTGCAAACCTAGCATTTGTGTTCCGGCCAAAGGACGGTAATAAAATTATACCTAGCTGCAGGCCTTACAAATAATATCAATGCTTTCCTAAGCAAAAAAACAGCTCTGTGCTGTACAGCCTTGGTATATGTACACATATGCCCTCTCATGGAGACGAACGTTAACTGTATCATCTGGGACCCAGTAAGGGGATTATCACTCAGATAACTGGCAAAGGTCAGAGCTAGGAGATCAGCATATCATGTTATTGCAGACTAAGAATAACCAGCTTTATGGTATGTACCATATACCTCATATACCTATAGCTAGGGGATCATTGCCAAAAGGAAACTGACTGAGATTTTCAGTTCCATGTACTCATGGCATAACTTAATGATCAACAGTTACATTGTAAATGTACATTATTCATTCAGCTATAGCAAAATGGAATTACTTATCAGGAAGTGTGGTTATAATTGGTCCTATATCAGAAGAAATTGAGGAAAGGCTGACCATGCAGAGCTACATTTGTATTACACAATCCAGGTTTGACCAAGTGGTTTAATTTCTCTACCTTAATTTTAGGGCAGACTTAAAACTTTTATGAAATGGAAAAATAGTAATTATTTCTTTGAAAAAGGGAAGATATTCCTCAGTTTCCCTTCATTTTGGAAAAATTAAACATTTTACCTATAGGGGAGGGTAGGGAGCTTGATGTACAAAGAAGAACCCAGCATCTTTAAATTATGCAACTGATCAAATTCTACAGCCAAACAGGATGTTGTTTATGTCTCCTAATTGATTGTTTCCAATGGGTGGGAGGGGCCTGGGTTGGGGTTTGGGTGTGGTGGTGGTGGTGGGGNATTGTACATATTATTGAAGAAAATATAAAGAAGAATCAGGGAGACAATTTATAATCTATTCTTGTGCTTCCAAACCTGCAATTGTGTTAAAGGTTTCATCAGGTTGGGCAAATTTGTATACATTGGTGGTATATAAGTTCTTTTAAGCAGGTTGGACACAACGGCACATATGGGTAATAATCCTGCATTTGGGTAACAGTTACCCATTTCAGTAATATTTTTATTACTGAAATGGGTAATAAAGTGAAATAAAAACACACAAAGTTCTTTTACACATTATGAACAAAAAAGGGTGTCATTCTTTCAACATAATCAAATAAAAAACAATGAGGTACAATTGTGTACAAAAATATGTAAATTCAGTTGTCTAAATTTTTGTGAAAATGACAAATTATATCACCTCCATTGCTTATAGTGTGTTGTAGAGTAGCTATAACTAGCACACATAAAAAAATCATGCTCACAGCTGTCACATTGCAATGGATAGTCCCATTGACTACACACTGAAGTCAATGGAGAACAAAGTCAGTGATATGGTTTGTCCTTTGCACAAAAAGTTAGACATCAGAATTGATATTTTTTTGTGCACAAAATGTACTTCATTGTGTTATTTATTTGATTTATTTAAAAGAATGACACCATTTTTAAAAGAACTTTGTGTGTTTTTATTTCACTTTGTTCCCCATTTCAGTAATAAAATTATTACTGAAATGGGTAACTGTGACCCAAATGCAGGATTATTACCCATGTGCCGTTGTGCCCAACCTGTTCATTCGACACCTACAGTAACGTTAATCTTAACTTAATCACAGTGAAATTTTAAACTATGTTCAAAAGTCGTTATTTCACAAATCCTCATAAATATAACCAAAATTACTGGAAATGACTTGATAGACGGAACTTTCAATATTTTGGACGAAGTGTCTGAAAACCAATTTTCCTTTAGACGACATTCGATGTACCGACTATTCGGCCACAATAATGCATGACACGTTGAAAATATAATTCTAAAAAGTAAAACCAACAGCAGTTTCTCGGCGACTTTTACACGTCTTGTGCTTCTTATCATCCTTCTTTGGTTCCTCAGCCATGTTTAGATTAGTGATATGCTTGATTACGATGTAAAATTAAACGATTTTCTTCAGACTACTTTCCCCATGGACGCAGCCATTTTTAATAAAATTATTGACGTCACATGAACGCTCCTTATGCAAATGCCATTTACACTGAGCGTCGAGATGACAAAGATCACCTCAAATTAAACAATATGGCGCCACAGCAGCGATGAAAAATTAGTTTTGTTATTTGGAATGTGATTATAACCTTTCACTATGGCTACGACTCCCGTCAAATTGGACGTGCAAAGTGTTCAAGACATCAGAAATTTGTTGTGGGGTTCAGGATTGAAAGACGAAATATTTGCAAGGTGGACACAAGGTAATTCGGCATCACGACCCGCATTTCAATATTTTACCTGTTTACAGCCTGATACTGTATTACATCCTAGTAGGAAACATCCTCTCACTTGAAATAAAGTACTGGAACTCTAGTGCATCCTTTCAAGTCAGAAGTCTAGATCTCTTATCAGACAAATTTGAATACATCTATATCTATCTATCTATCTATATATTCTGCAACACACTCTTTCGAGTATTATGTGCAGCGTGCGCGTCTGTTCACAATGGTGGTATATAATAAAAAATATAAGTTATTTTAAACAAGTTGGACACAACGGCGCATATGGGTCATGATCCTGCATTTGGGTAACAGAACTTTACCCATTTGAGTAACAATTCTATTGCTGAAATGGGGAATAAAGTGAAATAAAAACACACTAAGTTCTTTTACATATTATAAACAAAAAAGGGCGTCATTCTTTCAACATAATCAAATTAAAAGTACAATAAGGTACAATTGTGCATAAAAATATGTTTATTCAGTTGTATAAATTTGTGTCAACATGACAAATTATATCACCTCCATTGCTTATAGTGTGTTGTAGAGTAGCTACAGAGTATTTGCAACCTACATGTAGGTTTGTGTATCCCCTAAATAAGCACTGACTGTTCATGTATGACAATACATATTTAATCAAGTGTTGGTCATAGGCATCATTGTAAAATGAGAAGAAAGACGTAATCGTACCACACACAAGCATTCAGTCCCAGAATCCCGGACTGCCTATCCTGCAAGAAAACGGACATACATGTATATATATAAGTTAACCTTTCATTTTACTGAAATTCTTTGAAATTACATGGTTTATCAAATTGTAAACAATTCCAACTTAAAGATTTTGAAATTTTGTTTTAGTCTGTGTAATTAGTGACTTCAAAGTAGTTGATGTATTTGTAACAGGAGAGGAAAATGCACGACCAGACCGGGGTTCAAACCGGGGACCCTCCGAACTCTAGACGAACGCTTACCAATTGAGCTATCATGATCAGGTCGCTGACTTTTGACCCAGTCTAGTTTTGCTACAATAAATCCTCTCTCCTTATTTTTAAGTCTTCTCCCCCAAAGACACAACTATTTACAACCCAGGTCTTGGCAAGTATATCCCCTTGCCAAACATACACCAAATGCTTGAAGCAAGGGTTGGTCCCAGGCACCACTATAACATGAGAGGAAAAATGCACGGCCAGACCGGGGTTTGAACCCGGGACTCTCCAAACTCTAGACAACCGCATGCTCTACCAATTGAGCTATCTGGTCGCTGACGATCGACCCAGTCCAGTTGGACCGGTACCCGCTACATATTTTTCACTGTAATGTCCCTTTAAACTATTAATCTAGACCTCACAGGTTCCACTTTATGGCTAGGTTTTACTATACATTTAATTGCCAACAATTATCATACACTATTGGTATCCAATATTTGTTTTTCTATAACGTGACGATTCAATAGAAATTGCTTGCAAAGAGATCGATACAGTGATCATGATTGTTACTTAATTTTGTATGTATTCAACATACATGCCAACCTTTTTCAGTTTTCATGCGTTATATTAGCTAGAAACCATTTTGAAAATGTGTGAAAAGTACAAAAACAACTGAATATTGGAACTTTGTACCTTTATAAACTGTGAACTTGTAAACATTGTAGCTTTAATTTATACTAAAAGATTGTCATATCAATTTTGTTACTTTAGATATTTTATGAAGGAGTTTGATTGATTTGCAGGATTTGTGTTCAGTGAAGATGAGCCAACAGCATTAGTGCAGCATGAAGGCGGCCCATGTGCAGTTATTGCCCCTGTTCAGGCCTATGTTCTAAAGGTGGCACTGTTTAACGATAATCCACACAAGGAAATATCTTCAGTTACAGGTAGAAAATTGTCTCCCATTGATTAAATTAAACCAAGCAGTATTAACGCTATGTATCAGACCTGAATAAGACGGTCAGTCCAGCTATTAGAAAAGTAACTATATGTATACACTTGTAGTTTGTCAAAGTAATTATGATTGTTATAATTATTTGTTGCTTTAGTTTGACAGAATAATGAGATGTGTACTGTAGATAATGTGAATGTCAGCTGGTGTACATGTAGATCTAGCCCAGCTGAATCATCTGTATTACCCGATACTGACATACATGTAACAGGGGAGGGGGCTAGATCTACAACCTACATATGTACCTGTAACCGAAACGTCCCGGGTCGAGTAACATAAAAAATATATAATTTTGTCACAATACTAATCGCTCACTCAGCCATCAAAGCTTTACAAATTAAATTATGAGAAGTTCTTTTTACACAACCAATAAAATGTTCTATGTGACGTTTCGATGACTAGTAGGATATGTACACTGTCACCTTCATCAGACAAATGACCAATGAAGCGTATGCATACAAAGGTGTAAAATGTGTACGAGTTGTCCATAAAATCGATGTCGATTTCGGTTACGCTGGAAACATATGTACATGTACAATAGTTTTTATCTATATATATGTACCGAAATGACTCAATTCAGCTACACTTTGTTAACACTTGGTCATAGATGTGCGAGAGTCTTTGAGCCCCCTCGTCTCGATTTAGAACTGGCCCACTGCGGCGTATCCAGGTGGCTTCCTTTATCTGCTGCTTGAACAGATTGCTCTCTCTAGATCTGTCCAAAACTTTGGAGTTATCCCAGTTAATCACATGGTTTTTCTGTGTGGCATGGTCTGTGATTGCCGATTTATTTATCTGGGACTCCGACTGTAATTTTTCAGATCTGGTGAATTTCTTACCTTCTTGGGTTTCTGTATCTTTCCGGTGTTCACCAAGGCGGACCCCTAATCGCCTTCCAGTCTCTCCAATATACGACGTGTCACAGTTTTTTGAGTCATTTCGGTACATATATAACAACTATTGTACATACGTATACGTTTCCAGCGTAACCGAAATCGACATTGATTCTATGGACAACTCGTACACATTTTACACCTTTGTGTGCATATGCTTCATTGGTCATTTGTCTGATGAAGGTGACCGTGTACATATTGTACTAGTCATCGAAACGTCGCATAGAAATTTTTATTGGTTGTGTAAAAAGAACTTCTCATAATCCATACTTACCAACCTGAAGAAAATGTTTAGAAATTTACAAATTAAAGTAACCAGTTGGTCTTGAAACGTTGCGACACATTTGATATGTACATTGTTTGTATAGAAAGTAAATATTGATATTTTATCTATCGATTGGTTTTGTAGAGGAGCAGGCAAAGGATATATTATGTACAGCTCTAACAGAAATTCTCATTGATGTTGCATCTGGTACTTATAGAGTTGTCTCCCTTGACAACTCTTCCTCGGAACAAAATCCATCGAATACTCAGGGCGCGTCAACGTCTGATGCCGGAGCAAAACAGGAGGAGGAAGGGGAGAGGAGCCCTAAACGTCCACGGATGGATGAGGATATTTTCCATTCACGACTCAGGTTGTTAAACCCTCCCTTACAATTAATGACTTAGATAAATGATAATGAAATTTTCTATCTGGAGTTTCTTCTGTTACTATGAGGTTTTATAGTCCTTTGTGTCTTTGTCTTTATAAGAAGCTTACACATATATACAGGTATACTAAATTGTTTGTTTGGAAAGTTCCATAAATCTGATTTGGTCTAAGCTGGAGACATACATTGATGGTTTTGCTTATTGTAGATGCACTGAATGTGAAGATGAAGATGCTCTCAGGACGTGTATGAAATCTCGCATTCCAGATTTCACAGATGAATTTGGTGTTTTATTACATTTATACTCAGTTATATTGACCAAGGTGAGGGATAAATGTGTTGATTTACATTACCCGTATGTATGGAATCTGTACAATTCTAGAGTTCTGACTAAATATACCGTCCCAGTGCAAAGATACAGAATAAAATTTATTTTGATGTAAATATTTTAAAAATTACAAACTATATTATTTCACGAGTAACATCTTTTGATTTAATTCTTTAATTGAAACATTCAGGGTATAGAACAAATAAAAAATGAAGTAGAAGATCCTGGGGAGTCACTAATAGACTCTATCCATGGTCATGGGAGGTAAGTCATCTGTGGTTCTCTGCTTAAAGGTATGTGCATTGTAATTTCTTAAATTACACTGCATTAGCAACTTTGGAGGAGGGAATTTGAAGTTTCTGGCTAATTTTGTGTGTAACATATAGTGTATTATATAGGAGTATTAGTAAGTAGAAGTTTTATCTTAAGGTTCTTTTTCTTTTCATTTGTCTGCATTAATTTTGAAATGATTAAATTCAAAATTCATTGTTTTAAAAAAATGATTCATGTAATTTACATATTTCTAAATATCCCTTGCTGTATATTTCTCAGAATAGTTGTATCTGTATGTGGAACGTGTGTGTTTGAAGCATTATCTGTCCTTTATTTTGCAGCCAAAGTTTGATTAATCTATTACTGAGCGGGAAGGCTGTGACCAATGTTTGGGACAATGACAAAGAAGTCTGTGGCCTCAGTAAGTACCATTGTACTTAAATGAACCGTAATAGGTTCATTGGCAAATTCTTCTTAAACTTTCTTGGCGGAGTCTCCTCAAACATAAAAGGGTTATCACAATATTACCTCCCTTGACCGAATCTCCATTGCTAAAGTTAATACACTTTTGTTTTGACAGAGCTATCATGATCCGAATCATAGCTTATTATCCAACAAATAAAAATGAACTTTTATGACATTTGATATAGAGCAACAGGTTCTATATATACATATATATATATATATATAACCTGTCATGATTTAATTAGGTACATTGTGATGAGTAGTGGTGTAATGACTCACCGATGGATCAATGAATCGTATCATATCTTGAGTGTTGATGCATCATTAGTGATGAGAACATTAAATAAAAACTGTTATTATATACATGAACATTTCTAAATATAGCCTGTATGGAAATTCCCCGGAACCTGTCGTAGCGCATGCGCAGTTAGACTGGAACGCGATCCGTCATATGACATTAGAAGATGGCTGCTGGCGAACGTTTCTCCTCCGTTACATCAAAAAATACCAAAACTATTCGAGGATAAAGATGCTGTTAACGTAAAAAGGCCATTGGACACGCAGTGCATGTCCTCCATGCTTGTCTTAAGAAAAATAATCTAGACGATGCGTTTGAAAGCTACAATGATAAACTGTTGTTTTCAAACCTGGCTAAATTTTACACGGAGGATCGCGTACAAAAATCAGAACCTTTAGTTTTGTTTTGGTTTATTTTATTGTTGAAACATATAATAAAACAGTTATGGGCTTTTGTGCTGGTAAATATGATGTGATATGAACCTGAAGTTCAATATCAGTCAATATCACTCTTTCGGGTTCATATCACATCATATTCACCAGCACAAAAGTCCATAATTGTATAATATCTACCCTTATCCACCACATTTATTTACATATGATACACCATTATATCCTGACATATTTTCACTCATTCACATACACAATACTTCCAAAGATTACGGATTTAGAACAGTACCTGTGTCTTCAATTTATATTCTTTTCAGGGTCATAGGTACCGTTTTTATTCTCCAAATAAATTCATAAAATAAGATGACATGATTTTTTCTATGAGTTTTTGATATCATAGCACAATGGCCAATGATATTAATGATTTGAAATATAAATCGATTAGACTATTAAGAACTACAGTTTCCACATCAGTGATTGACACGTGTACAGCTTGAAAGCATCTGTACACACCACACATGGAGGCACGCCCTTACATGACCTTAGCTGTTAAAAGGATGTTAAACAAATTAAAACCAAACCAAATGAAAGCAAATGGGTCAAACCATTGTGGTATTGGATAATGGTGAAGTTCTAGGCTGTGATAAATGTTGTCAGGTTGTTATAAGTTGTAAATATTTTGAATGATGTTCATAGTGGAAATACAAAAAATTGTAAATGGGGCAATGATACAATTACCTCACTTGTCAGATTGGGACAAGTGTATAGGACTTAACTGCTTTTTTCATGTATAATTATTCAATTTAAAATGCTGAAACCATCTGAATTTTACCTACAGAACTACATGGTATACATCGACAGGCAACGATAGGTTTCCTTACACTACTAGAACACATGAGGTACTGTAAGGTGAGTATAATTTTACCTACAGAACTACATGGTATACATCGACAGGCAACAATAGGTGTCCTTACACTGCTAGAACACATGAGGTACTGTGAGGTGAGTATAATTTTACCTACAGAACTACATGGTATACATTGACAGGCAACGTTAGGTTTTCTTACACTGCTAGAACACATGAGGTACTGTGAGGTGAGTATAATTTCCTCACAAACATAAAACGATGATAAATAGCCACGTCTTCAGTAGACTTCTAAGAAATCAAATATGTTTTTGAACTCCAAAATTGAGCTTTTACACATTGCTTTGAAAGGACTTGTCTTATTTTCATTTATATCTTGACTCTCCAAATTTAAAGGGACATCACGTGAAAAGGCGTTTTTTTTTTAATGAATGTATGTATTGTATGCACTTCCACTTATGTTACCTCGCTATCCACATATTCATAGTCCGTTCCAAATGTCCAGTTTGACCACTTGAATTTTTCGGGAAAACCCTGCTAAAAATAGCGCCGATAACGTCACCTGACTAGGCAGTAAACACAAGTGGTGCGAGCGAGATGAAACGGTTTCCAAAGGGGCCCCCAGAGAGGGGCCGTCAGGCAACTGCAACCTCTTACCGCACTATGAAACCAAGTAATATGATTTCTAAGTCCGTATTCGAACTTATTGAACAGTCATTATTCATTATTAGAAGTTAATTGCACACTTGCCAATGTTCAGAATTTAAATTTATTTAGCTTTAAACATAAATTTGTTGCCAATAAAATTAAACAAGGGATGGGGCACAAGTTTTTACAATTTATCACAGCCTTCTCCCGTCATACATTTACAATTAAATGTCAACAATGATAATAGGCATAAACATAAAGTAGATATATTTAAATATATATTGTATTTAGTACCGGAATGTGGCCGGTACAGATGGTACGGGGCTAAACACCTTCCCTACACCAAGGGACAAACCTTTCTGATTTTTTTTTATATATTGCCGGGGCAGAGGAGGCCGGGTATTCATATTAGTACTAATTTAAATCTTGCATGTAAAAACAAAAATAATCGTTTAATTCAGCAATATAATTAAATCATACCATTTTATTGAACCCGGTAATATTATAAATTATGTAAATCCACGGACTTAGATAACACGTATCTCGGTGACCCAGAAAATACGCCGTGGGCCATCACAACAGTTATCCCTTGGAGGGCCTCATGGCAAAATCAAACTAACCAGTCACTTATCCCTTCCTTTCGCATAAACCACTGTATAATTATAGAAACACAAAGTAAACTCTCTCCAATACATGCCCATTAACATATTGAACTAAGTTCATCTGTGTTCAAACTCAGACAAAGATACTAGTGAGCTTAATATTTTAAGATATTTATTCATAACATAAACAGCGCTAGCATTTCTGTCGATTCCATTTCAGCTTAACCGGCCACTATCCGGAAGAATACATGCACCGTACTAACTGCTACGGCAGTTACTTTCTCCTTTGAATACTGCCCATCTGCAATAATGACTTCTGACCATTTGGCAACTTTTCGTTTCGTAGCTGACACGGTACAACACTTTTCTTTCGCTTACTTCACACCGCCAGTCATTTTGTTTACAAAGAAATGGTGTGCTATGCGCATGCGCTATTAGAAGGAAATCCCTGAACAAAACGTTGGTCAGACAGGTAGAAATACCAATGATTTTCTTAGATTTAATCATTTTTATGAATCTATTTCAGCCAAATCCGATTGTATTTTTCCATAAGGAGTCTCACTTGATATGTTTATGTAGTATTTGGAAAAAAGACAAAAAATAAAGTTCCTTCACCGTGATGACCCTTTAAGGGATTCTTTTTAAATTAAGTATGACTGAGTACTTAGTCATAATATTCTGACACCAAACAACAACCCATTAAGTCACACTACTCTGACACCAGACAACAACCCATTAAGTCACACTACTCTGACACCAGTCATGACACCTGCAGTGTCCTGTGACACTATATAAGATATCTTTTCATGTGTCAAAATTCTGTGACTTAGGTGAATGTCATGTTTTGTTTAGTTATAGAATTTCCCTTTATATTAAAATATTGCATCTGTTTCCCCTATTTTTACAGGTGGGATGGTACCTAAAGAACCCCCGCTATCCTTTGTGGCTGCTGGGGAGTGAGACACACCTCACAGTCATGTTTTCAAAGGTCTGTATTACTATTAGACATCATATTATATGCACAATAAAAAGTGAATGTTATTAACAGCAGAAAATATTAATATTCCTGAACTATATGAATGTGTAGGTACATGAAGAAGTGTTTTGCCTCAATCATGTTGGAGCTAAATCAAGTCTTTGACAGTAGCAATGTTAAGTCAATGATGCATGTTTAATACTGTGGATGTGTACATTGAATATGTGCACAATAATCATTGTATTCAGATCAATGTTTCAGATTATATGCTGTTGTCAATAGAAATTACATAAAATGCTTTGTAATTATGATTTTGTTATTGATATAGAGGTTCCCCAATATGTGTAGTTTTGTTATCATGTTTATCTAACTCGAGTTCATGAAGATTACCGAGGTCTTTTCCAGTTTGAAAAATTAACTAAGGAGAATTTGATCATGATAATCAACCATGACATAGTCGGAGACCTTTTTCTCTCACAACACTCCGATATTATACCGTGACAACTGTATGTTTCTCCCGCAACACTCCGATATTATACCTAGACAACTGCATGTTTCTCTCACAACACTCCAATATTATACCTAGACAACTGTATGTTTCTCTCCCAACACTCCAATATTATACCTAGACAACTGTATGTTGCTCCCACAACACGCCGATATTATACCTAGACAACTGCATGTTTCTCTCACAACACTCCAATATTATACCTAGACAACTGTATGTTGCTCCCACAACACGCCGATATTATACCTAGACAACTGCATGTTTCTCTCACAACACTCCAATATTATACCTAGACAACTGTATGTTTCTCACACAACACTCCAATATTATACCTAGACAACTGTATGCTTCTCCCGCAACACTCCGATATTATACCTAGACAACTGTATGCTTCTCCCGCAACACTCCGATATTATACCTAGACAACTGTATGCTTCTCCCGCAACACTCCGATATTATCCCTAGACAACTGTATGTTTCTCTCACAACCCTCCAATATTATACCTAGACAACTGTATGCTTCTCCCGCAACACTCCGATATTATACCTAGACAACTGTATGTTTCTCCCACAACACTCAGATGTTATACCTGGAAACTGTATGTTTCTCTTAGAGATACATTAATCCTGTTTTCCATTTTGGGAAACAGTTGCCATGAACTATGATGTCATCATGGAAGATTACATTGCAAAGCATTGCTATTTGAAGCTTTAAATGTATGTGCCATTATTGTAATAGTATTTTTAATTGTTTTCTACAGGAGGAGAATCTAGTTGTGAGAGAATCGCCTCATCTCACTGCTAAACAGATATTCCAGTCGTTTGATCCAGAAGGTATGGTTTGTAATGGGGAGCTTTATATACTAATTAGTCCTTTTTAAAGCCTTAATTAAATATTTAATACATTACAGATTTTTATTGATAAAGATGTGTTTGATTTAAAAAAACACAGAAAAAATAAACAGAAAGGAAAATGTGGCATGATATTTCTTTTCTATGTTCATTGGTGACCATACTCAATAATTACCTACATGAAAATAATCAATTTGGCCATTCTCTTAGTTTACCAATTTGTTGTAAAAAAATATTTGTGTAGCTTCTGTTAAAAACTTCATATTCTCATCAAAACTATGATTTTGCAGCTATGATGTATAAGAATGGTTAATTGAAGGGGTATAAAATATATTAAAATTTTAAAAGAAAAATGCTAAGCTAAATTTTATCAATCAGTAAGTGTTGTTTGAACAAGTATCTTTCCTGTTGTATCTTGTGGCTATTGAGTAAAATTCTAGACTAAAATTTACTGTTTTTCTTTGTAAGCAAATCTCAGGAATGTCTTAACTTCCTGTGTCAGATTCATATTGACTCTGTTGTATTGTTTTTGACAGGAAATGGCTTTATATCAACAATTCAGCTGGCAGATCTTATGAGTGCCTTAAATCTAGTGTCTGAGAAAGAATAGTGAGTATTCAGTCTGGTTACCAGCATGTTGTATTTTACATTAATTTTAAACTGAAAGTTGATGGCTAGATATTTATTAGATGTACTGATTTATAAATAATTGAACATGGACCAATCTGTACACACGGTCGGTGATCGAGGTCCAGTGCAGTGTTTGTTTATCATGTTCCAGAGGGTTTAACAGCTTAGACTTGAATAGTTCTTGTATGAACTAGCTACTATAAAAAATTATGTTAGCATGATTTAAATAAGCAGTTTTCAAACTATGATATTTTAATCTCTATTAAATTGTGAACAAAATTAATATTGTTTGGTTTAAGGTAGTCAGTATTTTTTCACCCTGCTTTCTCCCACAGATGTATAACGGAGTAATACCTTAATAAAGTCAACCTATCCGTTAGTTTGATTGTTGCTGTTAAATGTTCAGTTATCAACCTTTCATTGAGATCTGTGGTATATTGTTTTGTTCTTGGTATTTTTAGTGTCGACATTATGACCACTAAGCTGGACGCTGAGAGTCTGGGTATAATCACCATGCACTGTTTCATGGAAGAGTTCTATCCAGGGGAGAGCAACACTGATACTCCACGGTCCTTTACGCTGTACCATTATAACGGACTTGCCAGGTCGTGTATAGAAAACAAGGTAAGGGCAGATGGTTGACTATTGATTTATCATTGGGGGCTGTTATTGTTACTATATATGTGTACCTTATTCAACCAACCGTAATTAGTGTCCATGAACCTCTCTTTTTTGCTGCCATGAATATCATAGATCTGTGTTCAGGGATAAGTCAACACATTCTGTTTGAATACTTCAATACTGTTATATCATCAGAGTCCTGGACTAGGTAGAAGTAAACACAGAGTATCATTGTCATACTAAACAAGAACATTCTCAAACTGATTGATTTCTGTGTTATACTGTATAGTCACACTGGTAATGTGTTGTGTTCTCAGGTGCGCTACCAAAGTGGGAGGGCCACAATTCCAGAGGAACTTGATGTCCAGGTCATCACAGACGTATCCACCATGAAAATGTGCTTGGAAACAAAATGGCCGACAATTGAAGTTACATGGGACTCGGATCACATACCTTCACTTAATTAGGGACTGCTTGGTGCTTACTCATTAATAATGGTTCCTATTCAGGCAAACGGACAGAATTCTTTGTCAAATATATTTAATTTTGACAGGATTTTCTGTCAAACTTACTATGATAAGATTGTCTGTCAAATGTATTTTCTTTGACATGGTTGTTAAATTCATCTTACTTAGACAGGATTGTCTATCAAAATGTCTGCCTCTGTATTATTTTTGCCTATTTTTCTCTCTTTTAAACCAGAGAGTATTAAGCCTAGGGACAGCAAATTCAAAATGGGTGAATTCATTTTTAAGACTAGAAGGTATTATGTTCCAATTTGATTGTGCTTTCAGTCAATTTTATGCTTGGGGCCAAAATTATATACTTTTTCTGTTTAACTCATTCACACATTTGAACTCTTCTAATTCAAAGGTTGGAATAGTTCATTATGAAATTTCAGGGGTGAATGAGTTAAATGGGAAAGGTTCATCTTACTAAGGAACACCATTACCAATGCCAGCATTTATATCATGATTACATTGGGATCAAAGTATGGAGAGATGTTTCTGTACTGATATCTTGTACCTTGATATATAACCTTTACCCTAGCCTTACATACAATAAGTTGTGATGCCATGAAGTACACAATTAATTTGTAGCGTGGGGTACTGGTCAGTGGGTTCTGTTGACGAGGATTATGTGACCATACAGCAGCACTTATACTGTGGATGTTTTATATTTTTGTCCAGTGCTGATTTGTAAGATAATTGAATATTCATGATTAAATTCATCAAATTTTTCATCACTAATATTTACATTAAAATCATGCAACTTACCATTATTAAGCCTATAAACCTGCTTGCTGTTATAGACAACGGGTGCTCTTAGTGGGTCATCAGGGCCATGACTCAACAGTTAGGTGTTTTAATACATTAACTTATGATCACTATGAAATCAAAATGTGAGCATAGATATTTGACTAAGTGGAGTATTATATTCTTTGATTTAGAACTTATCATTTTAGTTTGCTGGAATTTTACAATTTTTAGCTGAAAAAACAGTCACTGTAGCTCTTTCCTGGGGTTATTTCAACCAGGTGTGTTAAACAGGGGGTAATTATACACTGTGTAAGTCAAATCCCAGGTATAGTGGCACTGCTAATGAATGGGGACATAAATCCAGTACGAGGAAATGTGACTGAGTTATTATCATATAACACATTATATAACACTGTCTAGGATCTTCTGTGGAGCAGTACTCTCTTACCCTTATTATCAGGGTACTGTCATTTCACACCTAGTCTCCCTATTAATGTACTGTGAAGGTGTTGTACTGATGCTTTGTACTGATTCTGTTTACTTTGACTTGTTAGTTGCTTGAATGTTATGTTGATACTGATCCTTGCATATTTCACTGAAATCAAATCTACTGTTACCATATTATATCTCATCAATACTTGGTAATAGTAGCAGGTTTTAGAATTCTGGTCAGAATGAACGGAGCTTCAAATGCTCATCTTCGAAATTCAAAGGATCCTGTCTCATCACATGTATCTTCTATAAACTCGTGGAATATGTCCCAGTAGGATTGTAGGCTTTGTATGCCACACCTTGTGGATGTGAGTAGACTAGTTTTTATCCTTTGAACCATGTAAAAGAATTGTGCAGCAGCAAAACGGTAAAATTGACTGACTTTGAAGTCGGTTGTTGGTCCTCTGTAATCATCAAAGGACAGGTATCAGCCTAGTGATTGGTCTTTTATTTTTATACCTGATTCCAATCAAATATCTAAACATGTGCCTTCCATTTCATCATGACATGTTCCGGGGGTGTAGGAAGATATGTGTTTGGAGAGCAGGTTTAGGAGATGTCAAATGCATGGCTCTTATCACTTTTAGTTATTTTGATTTTATACATCCATGTTACTCAATAAATTATGAGATTTTCTTTTTAAGAAATATATGTTTTGTTTTCATTTATGTCGACCTTAAGGTTCTGATCATTTCTAGCTGAAGATTACGTAATTGTGTGTCGTGATTACTGTAAAAGTGGGAATATTTGCATTTTTCACATTGAATATATTAGCGATATACACGCTTGAATATCTATTTAATAGATTATATCAATTAAAGATAAGTAGGATATTCATTGAATTTGCACACTGCGATCATTTAAAGGATCAAAACACAAACATGTCTACACGTCAACTTTTACAGTATTATTATTTAGGTTAGCCGCCTTCGACCAGCTTCTTGTTGGTTCAGTAAGATTACACCAAACTATTTCAAGAATTTTGTGACTTTTTCTGGGAAAAAAGTCACATGAATGGTACTAAGAGTCCACCACTAAAATATAGGATTATGTGCTGTATGTAATTTTAGTACAAATTTATATATCTGCTTGAGGACGACATCGATCTTAGATTAAGAGGAAGATCACATGTAAGCTTCGTACCAAGTACTGTACACTTTAAGCCAAGTTAATCATGCCAAAAGTTTAGTCTCTGATTTTGTCATATTTACACTGACCACAGTAAAGTGCCCACAAATAATGATCCTGATCAGATGTGATGACGACAACAAAAAGGAACTTCTGGATGGAACTAAATCAACAGTTGGACAAGAAAAAAAATATTCAAACATTTTAAACTATTTCCGTGTCGAATTTCTATCAGAATTTTCAAATGAATATTATTTCAAAAAAAGTTATGTGCCATGAAATGTGTCTTATTTTATGTTCTCAATTAAGGCTCTGGGTAACGTTATACGTTATAATTATCTGAACTTTGGCCTTCACTGGTGACCTTGTCCTTAATGTCGTATCATGACGGCGTAACCAAACGATATATATACGAAAATATATAACTTATCTGTCATAGCCACCAACAGGCCAAAATTGGCATCTCTTTAAAAAATGTAGACCAGAATTGTATAGGTAAGTACGTATACGTAACCAAATAGCGGAGTTTACTCGGCATGTGAATGCTCAAGCATCAAATAAATATTGACCCCTTATACAGGAGTTCACGCACCAACACTTTCCTTTTCATACTTATATATAGATACCATTAATAAACGCTAATATTACAATAAGAACAGCATGCTGGATGTGTGAAACCTTTATTACATTGATTCAAAATTTTAATTCATGACATCAGCCTGTGAATAAATATTAAAAGCAAATGACCTGAAGGATCATTTAGTGGAAATCAAATAACTATAATTAACTACTTAATCATGTACCAAGTAAGGGTAAATCATTTTTTAATGTATATAATTTTTCTAATGTCCCTAAACATACTTCTAACAACATCTCATTTTTTGGGGGTTTTCGTAAAGTTTATGCTTATGCTACATTTATGATTGTTTAAATGTAAAGGAGACCCTCTGACATTGATAGAATTGTTTAAATGTATAGGAGACCCTCTGACATTTATAGAATTATTTAAATGCAAAGGAAACCGTCTGACATTGATAGAATTGTTTAAATGCTTATGTTAGAGTTGTTTTGTCTGTTATCATGTTTGAGTTGCTTTGTCTGTGTTAATGTTAGAGTTGTTTTTATAGAATTATTTAAATGCAAAGGAAACCGTCTGACATTGATAGAATTGTTTTAATGTTTATGTTAGAGTTGTTTTGTCTGTTATAATGTTAGAGTTGCTATGTCTGTTATAATGTTAGAGTTGCTTTGTCCGTGTTAATGTTAGAGATGTTTTGTCTGTGTTTATGTTAGAGATGTTTTGCCTGTTATCATGTTAGAGTTGCTTTGTCTGTGTTAATGTTAGGGTTGCTTTGTCTGTGTCGATGTTAGAGTTGCTTTGTCTGTGTTGATGTTAGAGTTGTTTTATAGAATTGTTTAAATGTAAAGGAGACCCTCTGACATTTATAGAATTATTTAAATGCAAAGGAAACCGTCTGACATTGATAGAATTGTTTTAATGTTTATGTTAGAGTTGTTTTGTCTGTTATAATGTTAGTTGTTTTGTCTGTTATAATGTTAGTTGTTTTGTCTGTTATAATGTTAGTTGTTTTGTCTGTTATAATGTTAGTTGTTTTGTCTGTTATGATTGACATTGATAGAATTGTTTACATGTAAAGTAGACCGTCTGACAATGATAGAATTGTTTACATGTAAAGGAGCCCGTCTGACAATGATAGAATTGTTTACATGTAAAGGAGATCCTCTGACATTGATAGAATTGTTTACATGTAAAGGAGATCCTCTGACATTGATAGAATTGTTTAAATGTAAAGGAGACCATCTGACATTGATAGAATTGTTCAAATGTAAAGGAGACCGTCTGACATTGATAGAATTGTTTACATGTAAAGTAGACCGTCTGACAATGATAGAATTGTTTACATGTAAAGGAGACCATCTGACATTGATAGAATTGTTTACATGTAAAGGAGCCCGTCTGACAATGATAGAATTGTTTACATGTAAAGGAGCCCGTCTGACAATGATAGAATTGTTTACATGTAAAGGAGACCGTCTGACAATGATAGAATTGTTTACATGTAAAGGAGATCCTCTGACATTGATAGAATTGTTTAAATGTTTATGTTAGATTTGTTTTGTCTGTTATAATGTTAGAGTTGCTATGTCTGTTATAATGTTAGAGTTGCTTTGTCTGTGTTGATGTTAGAGTTGTTTTGTCTGTTATAATGTTAGAGTTGCTATGTCTGTTATAATGTTAGAGTTGCTTTGTCTGTGTTAATGTTAGAGTTGTTTTGTCTGTTAAAATGTCAGAGTTGTTTTGTCTGTGTTTATGTTAGAGTTGTTTTGTCTGTTATCATGTTTGAGTTGCTTTGTCTGTGTTTATGTTAGAGTTGTTTTGTCTGTTATAATGTTAGAGTTGCTATGTCTGTTATAATGTTAGAGTTGCTTTGTCCGTGTTAATGTTAGAGATGTTTTGTCTGTGTTTATGTTAGAGTTGTTTTGTCTGTTATCATGTTTGAGTTGCTTTGTCTGTGTTTATGTTAGAGTTGTTTTGTCTGTTATAATGTTAGTTGTTTTGTCTGTTATGATTGACATTGATAGAATTGTTTACATGTAAAGTAGACCGTCTGACAATGATAGAATTGTTTACATGTAAAGGAGAACCTCTGACATTGATAGAATTGTTTACATGTAAAGGAGCCCGTCTGACAATGATAGAATTGTTTACATGTAAAGGAGAACCTCTGACATTGATAGAATTGTTTACATGTAAAGTAGACCGTCTGACAATGATAGAATTGTTTACATGTAAAGGAGATCCTCTGACATTGATAGAATTGTTTACATGTAAAGTAGACCGTCTGACAATGATAGAATTGTTTACATGTAAAGGAGATCCTCTGACATTGATAGAATTGTTTAAATGTAAAGGAGACCCTCTGACATTTATAGAATTATTTAAATGCAAAGGAAACCGTCTGACATTGATAGAATTGTTTAAATGTTTATGTTAGAGTTGTTTTGTCTGTTATAATGTTAGAGTTGCTTTGTCTGTTATAATGTTAGAGTTGCTTTGTCCGTGTTAATGTTAGAGATGTTTTGTCTGTGTTTATGTTAGAGATGTTTTGTCTGTTATCATGTTAGAGTTGCTTTGTCTGTGTTAATGCTAGTGTTGCTTTGTCAGTGTTAATGCTAGTGTTGTTTTGTGTCTGTTAATGCTAGTGTTGTTTTGTGTCTGTTAATGTTAGGGTTGTTTTGTCTGTGTGTATTTAAGAGTTGTTTTGTCTGTGTTTATGTTACAGTTGCTTTGTCAGTGTTAATGCTAGTGTTGGTTTGTCTGTGTTAATGTTAGGGTTGCTTTGTCTGTGTAATTATTAGAGTTGTTTTGTCCGTAATAAAGATATACTTGTTTTGTCTGTGATGATGTAAGTGTTTTTTTGACTGTGCCGATGTAACTGTTGTTTTGTCAGTGTTCAAGTTCGGGTTGTTTATTCTTTGTTAGTGTTAATGTTGCTTTGTATGTGATGATTTACACTATGTAAGTGTTGTTAAGTCTGTGTTCATGTTACAGTAACTTTGTCTTTGTTAATGTTAGAGTTGCTTTGTCTGTGTTAATGTTAGGGTTGCTTTGTCTGTGTCGATGTTAGGGTTGCTTTGTCTGTGTTAATGTTAGAGTTGCTTTGTCTTTGTCAATGTTATGGTTGCTTTGTCTGTGTTAATGTTAGGGTTGCTTTGTCTGTGTTTATGTTAGGGTTGCTTTGTCTTTGTTAATGTTAGAGTTGCTTTGTCAGTGTTAATGTTAGGGTTGCTTTGTCTGTGTCGATGTTAGGGTTGCTTTGTCTGTGTTAATGTTAGGGAGGATTTGTCTGTGTCAATGTTAGGGTTGCTTTGTCTGTGTCGATGTTAGAGTTGCTTTGTCTGTGTTGATGTTAGAGTTGTTTTGTCTGTTATAATGTTAGAGTTGCTTTGTCTGTGTTAATGTTAGAGATGTTTTGTCTGTGTTAATGTTAGAGTTGCTTTGTCTGTGTTGATGTAAGAGTTGCTTTGTCTGTGTTGATGTTAGAGTTGCTTTGTCTGTGCTAATGTTAGAGTTGCTTTGTCTGTGTTAATGTTAGAGTTGTTTTGTCTGTTATAATGTTAGTTGTTTTGTCTGTTATGATGTTAGAGTTGCTTTGTCTGTGTTAATGTTAGAGTTGTTTTGTCTGTTATAATGTTAGTTGTTTTGTCTGTTATAATGTTAGAGTTGCTTTGTCTGTTATAATGTTAGTTGTTTTGTCTGTTATAATATTAGAGTTGTTTTGTCTGTTATAATGTTAGTTGTTTTGTCTGTTATAATATTAGAGTTGTTTTGTCTGTTATAATGTTAGTTGTTTTGTCTGTTATAATGTTAGAGTTGTTTTGTCTGTTATAATGTTAGTTGTTTTGTCTGTTATAATGTTAGAGTTGCTTTGTCTGTTATAATGTTAGTTGTTTTGTCTGTTATAATGTTAGAGTTGCTTTGTCTGT